CAATATTTGAAAAGAGCGTATAAACAGGGGGGAGAATGGCTGTTTATGAGTGATAGGACAAGGGAGAATGGTCTTAAACTGAGACAGGGGAGGTTTAGGTTAGATATTAGGAGGAAGTTTTTCACCCAGAGGGTGGTGAAGCACTGGAACAGGTTGCCCAAGGAGGCTGTGGATGCCCCATCCCTGCAGGCATCCAAGGCCAGGCTGGATGTGGCTCTGGGCAGCCTGGTCTGCTGGTTGGCGACCCTGCACATAGCAGGGGGTTGAAACTGGATGATCATTGTGGTCCTTTTCAACCCAGGCCATTCTATGATTCTATGATTCTATGATGCATATATGGGTTAAGTCCCCTTCCAATGCTTTTGACGGCTCATCTGCAGGCTATATGATAAAGCTGGAACTATTATGAAGGCTGTCATTAACACATTGCCATTTCAGTGGTCTTAAGCTTTACTTAACAGCATGTTTTTGGATTAGAACTATGCATGTTGGGTGCTGTGCTTCAGACAGGGATGGACAAGAACCAGGCAGGGCTCTCTCTGTCCCTACAGTGCCCAGGAGCCATCTTGATGTGTTTTCTCCCAGGCTTGGCCCAGGCTCTGCTGAGGATGTATTCCAACTCTGCCATTTTGCTAAAGTCACTGCTTTTCCCTGTGATTTAGTCCTCATTCTGCAGGTTAATCCTCTCACTTCCCCTGCCCCTAACATAGCTTTCTATTCTTGCCTGAAGGAAAAAAAGAAGCTGTCCACAAGTTCAAATGATTTCAACTTTATGTCATCCATTTGTATTTTACAAAACAGCGTTTGTTACTGCTTTGTCATGGTGTCCATTACCTGCCAGAGACACTTTTGTCTGCTCTGACTCTCTTTGCTGTCTGTTTTCCTTCACAACATCCACAGCATCAAAAGAGATGCTGGCTGCGTTGAGTCCTGTGACTCCAGTAAATGAAATATTGCAGCTGTTATGGAAACATCACACTTCCACTGAATGGGATGGGGAGCACAGCAGGATTTTTTTGTCATCTGGTCACTCTATGGTCTGATAATGCCCAAAGAGGATGTGCAGCATCAGAATGCCTGGCTTTAAGCCACAAGCTAGACAAATGAAAACCTGTTTAGGACATCTTTGAAGAGCAGTAATTTTGTCTTTCTGGCCATATCCTGTATTCTAGCTTCAGACGAGAGTCATGTGCTGAGCACACTGGAGACACAGTTCTTAGCCAAGGCGTGGTTAAAATGCCCATATTCATGTGAAGGGCAGGGCAATGAGTTACATGGATTCTTGTAGAGAAGGAAGATAACGAAACTGAATGTGTGGTATATGCTCCCAGTAGTCTCCACACTCTGACAATAATGAGCACCACCAATTGCAAACACCACACTATTGCTGCACCTTTTGATTGCACTTGAGGCAAGGCAACCTTCTCCAGCCTCTCTTTCCCAGCTTTGAAATTACAACTTCTATAGCAAACACAAGCGTGACAATGGCCAAACGTGGTGGAGGAGAGCTGGAAAAGCATTGTCCAGTTTGCATGAGACTGTCTCTGTGTGGTACCCGTGGTGTTGAGACATCCACAAGCTGCATGTGTCCATCCATTGTGCATTTGTGTATTGTAGGGAAGCAGGGAGCTTTCCCTAAAATAGCCTGATCCAATGCAAGCATCCAAGCATCCTGTCATTTATGCTGCTTGCTACATGCTGGAATGATACCAGTTTCCAAAGGTTCCAGAGGTTTTAATTTCAAAGCCTGGCACAGAGGAGAAATGTGAAGAAATGCATGGAAACACCTGCCTGGCTTCAGTGGAGAATGACAAGAGAACATGGAGCTATGAATGGCATATCAATTTTATCTCCCTCTGCTGTATTTGCTTACCATAGTGACCTTACATCAGTGCAGTATTTTGAAATCAAGTTCTGCAACACCTGCAGGTGAAAATGAAATAATTTAAGGGCAGAACTAGAGCCTTATCTCAAAAGTACTTTGTTTGGGTGGCTGTCACAAACGTGAACCTGAATCTTAATGCTGTTTTTCACTTCTCTCTAACCAGAAATTCTCAGACACTGCAGGAGCACGTACTGCACTAAGATCAACATCTAGGCCCAGGAAACTTGTCTAATTACTATCTTGCAGGCAAAATGTAGCCTGGCAAGGAATCCCAGATCCTTAATGGAAGAGTATGGCACTGCCACATAGGACTCGATCCTTCCTGCAGTGCAACCATTTCTAGTGCCTCAGAGCAAAACACCAAAGGTTGTAGAGGCAGGGTACTCACCAGCAAGCAGTCCTGCCTGATTTTCCAGCAGTTTAGTCATCCCCATCTTGAGCTTGCCCTGCTCTTACTCCTGGGGAAGCTGTACATTGGCTATATGGGGCTCACAGACTTTGACAGGGAAGGTCTCCAAGCCCCCGTAGCACATGGAAGGCTTAGGGGTGCTCTTCAGATAAAGGATTCCAGGAAAAGGCCTTTCTTTCTAAAAGCTCTGGTCAAGCTGAGCTGCATTTTCACAACAGGACCAGCATCATCTCCCCAGCCCGAGGGGAGATTACCTGCCTGGAGACACCTCCATTCACCTGTTGATATGAGGCAATAGCACTCGGGAGAGATCAGGAGAGTGCTCTTTATATAATGAAGTGGTTGTTTTATTAATATAACACGAGCAGTTTTCTCTAGGAAGCCTGGGGGAGTTTGGCTTGTTTGTTTTTCTTATGTAAGTTGGAATTTATTTCAACTTCAGAAGTCACTCCACAAAACAAGACTGTGTTTTTATCTGTGAGAAGGCTTTTGTTTGATGAATTTCTGCATTGCTCATTATAATGGCAACAACAACGAGAGTCTAAAGAGCATCGCATCAATTCTAGAAGGTTTTATTTAGCTAACCTAATATGGAAGACCAGAAAACAAGAAAGTGCTGCTATTGCACTTGTTTGTAGGCCCAGCATTGCCTGACACAATGCCCTGTTTGCACCCTCTTCTGCAGGAACCAGGACACGCTGGCTCACATGACCACCCCCAAAGAAATGTTCTCCAACGTCATGCAAGCTCTGCAATACCTGGACTCCCAGCTTCCAAACAGCAGCCACGTGATTCTGACAGGCTTGGTGGATGGACGCTTTCTCTGGGATAACCTACACAGCAGATATCATCCTCTGGGTAAATATGAGATGTTGTGGGGTCCTCTTGGTTACCACTCACTCATGTTTCCTTCTCTCCCTGAGTAATTTGTGAGTCTGTTGGCATATTTCAAGCAAGCCTAAGTAGTGGAGATCTGGGAAATGTGAACTTGCCTGTGCAGTTGGATAGTCACCCCCAGCATGGAATAGAGCATCTAGAGGGCAGATCCCTAAACATATGATGCCCAAACCCACTCAGCCCCAACCCCTGCTCAGCACAAAATGTGGAGGTGGAAACAAGCTGGGCACCTGGTGAGCACCTCCACTCTCTGACTGATGGATGTCTTGGTAAAACTAGGTGTGGACCAGAGCAGGATTAAGCCAAGGAGTTGCAAAAGACTGAGTAGATACTAGAGAAATAGATTTTCCACAAGCACTTGGGTGTCTGCCACCTATTCTGCACTTAGCTGTGACGAGTGAAGCTTCACACCACATAGGCATGTTTTTAAGCTTTTAGAGTAAAGTTACCCTAAGGTGTCTCGAGATAATGTTTGTTCTTATTATCCCACAGTCAATAAAGAAAAAACACAAAATACTTCATCCAGGTAGCAAAGAAATCTTTATCGAAATGCCAATAACAGAAATCATAAAATCATGACATTTTTACATGTAGCAAAAGTGTGTTTGGTGTTCTCCATTCAGGTGTAGGTATGAGGAACTGTAGAGGAACCAGGCCAAAAGTGTGTTCCTTCTTTTTGGGTAAAGAAATCTTTCCTGCATCTGAATAAGTAAGAAGTTGTTGCCATATTAGTCTTCATCAGTAAAGGGAGAGGAGGTAAATCACTTCGTTAAGATGGTAGATTATGTCTTCAAATGATTTTTGCTATTTGAGCTTTCAGGAGACTTTGATTTCCCCAAGTTTTGTCATTACCCATAGGCCCCATAGTTTCTGCTTGATATACTGAAAAATATACTGATATTTTGCCCCTCAAAAGTACATTCCTTTTCTCAGGAAGCCTGAAGCCTCCATTTCTATTGTTCTTCTATGATCCCCCCCTTCTACTCTGCCCAGGTGAGGCCACATTCAGACTGCTGTGTCCAGTTCTGGGCTTCCCAGTTCAAAAAAGACAGGAATCTCCTAGAAGGAGTCCAGCAAAGGGCCACAAAGATGATAAAGTGCGTGGAGCATTTCCCCTGTGAGGAAAGACTGAGTAACCTGAATCTGTTCAGCCTGGGGAAAAGAAGACTGAGAGGGGAATCTGATTAATGTTTATAAACATCTAAATGGAGGTGGGAGGCAAATGGATGAAGCCAGGCTTTTCTTGGTGGTGTGTAGTGATAGGACAAGGAGTAATAAACATTAACATAGGAAGTTCCATACAAATATGTGGAAGAACTTCTTTACGTTAAGGGTGATGGAGCACTGGAACAGGCTGCCCAGAGAGGTTGTGGAGGCTTCTTCTATGGAGATATTCAAAACCTGGCTGGACGCCTGCCTATACAACATATTATAGGGAACCTGCTTTAGCAGGGGTTGGATTTGATGATCTCTTGAAGTCTCTTCCAACCCCTGTGATTCTGTGACTCTGTGATCATCACCTTTTCTCAAATTAGCACTGTACTACTATCAAGTGAAAACATAAGGGGAAAAAAAAAAAAAAAGGAAACCCCCATTCCTTCTGGCTCAGGGGGAGATGATAACTCTTCAGTCACACAAATGCACTTCTTTGCTTGAGTGCATGTTTATCACAGGGGCGGTTCCTCTACTGGGTGTCTAATTATCAAAGATAACATAGCATTTTTGGCGCAAGGCAAACCAGGAGCGATTAGCTATAGGGCCAGTTGGCAATTTTTCAGAGGGCTTCAATCACCTTAGAGGGAACCAATTAATCCTCGGCAACATGTTTTGCAGCAAGACATCACTTCTGGCAGTTCTTCCGACAGGTTGTGAGGAGGTTTCCCTGCTTGGCAGCCTATCAGGCTCCACCAGCCGTCATCCTGGCTTTCTGACAAAATACCCACCTGGGCTTGTATGGACCAAACCCATCGGCTGCAGCAGCCATTTGCACCACAGGCCCTCCAACAGCCCATGTCATGACCTGGCACTTGGAACTGTGTGGGTCTGGGACATTCCCACCTGCCCTTGATGTTTGAGCTCTCCTGCTGTTGTTCCCTGGCTGTAGGGTGAGAGAAGGAGTCACATCTGTGCCATGCTTCTCCTACAAAGCAGCCCGAGGAGCCCATTTCATTTGGGTGCTATCATACTCTGCTGTTCCTGGAACAGCGATGACAAAATCTGGGGACGTGTGGAGCCACAAAGCAAAACTTATGGCAGTACCTGTGGCCATTGGGTATGCAGAGCTTCCCTCTCTTTGTTTTTCAGGGCAGCTGAACAGAGACGTCACCTACAGCCAGCTGTACACTTTCCTCAACTGCCTTCAGGTAAGGTCTTCCTTAGGAGCACCCCTGCCCTCTCCTCTCATTTGCTTGCCACTGACCCCATGCCTCCCCTGCCCACCCAGGTGAGCCCCTGCAGCGGCTGGCTGACTGCCAATGAGACCCTCAGGAACCTGACCTCAGAGGTAAGAAGAAACGATACCTTTGAGTTTGATGTGCAGGTCCACTCTCTTGCCCAGAGAGTCTTCCATTCAGCTCTACCCCTGAATCTTGTATAGAATCCTAGAATTATTTATACTGGAAAAGATCTCCAAGACCAGAAAGTCCAGCTATCCACTTGACCTACAAAGACCCACCACTGAACGTGTCCCTTAGTGCCACATCCACAAGTCTCATTAATACCTCCAGGGGTGGGGACTCCACTATCTGCCAGATGAGCCAGTTCCAATATTGAACACACTCTCCATAATGAAATTCTTCCTAAATACCAGGTTTCTTGTGTTATACAACCAGATGTTTTCACTGAAATAGCACAAGAACCATTTCACAGATAAAAATACATCAGTGGAATGCAGAGCAACTAAAAGAATATGCAACATCTCCATATCAAGAGAAAGCTTAAACAGAAACTATGTACTGATCTCTTTCATTTTGCTTCAGTCTTTCATATGACTGTTAGGATGCTGGACTAAACCTGGTATCCCAAATGCATGACATCAGATCACTTTTTCTTCCATAAACGTGGGTGACAAGATGTGGAATTTTCTGTGCCCATCCTTTCAAATATCCTGCAGGCTCTCAGAGCACAGCTCAGCTAATCTGTGTTCATCTTGTGATCCTTCAGCTGTCCAAATTCATTCTTGAGAGACGTTATCTCTCTGAGTTCCCCATGATCTCCATGAGACAAAACCATTCAGGATCTTGCTCTTTGAGAAGAAAACTGCTTTGATAAGGAAACTGCTTACAGGCCAGGGGCCGTGAGCATGATAAGCTGATGGCACAGGTTTTGCTGGCTGCAGGAGCAAACCCCTGCCCAGGGTCTGCACTGATGTCCCTCAAGCACATTGTTCCTGGTGGCATGGCCAACAAAAAATATGGCCTTAATTTTGCCAGGCTTTACCTATGTTTTTCACTGTACGCTCCATCTCTCTTGACTTGTGAAGCACATACCTAAATCTTTGCAGGACTGCACCTTATGTGTTAGCACCAGCATTACAGGACATACAGGGCATGTAACCACTGTCCACAAACAGCTCTGTGACTGCAGGGCACAAGTCAATATCTCCCTTCTGGCTTCCTGACTGAAAACTAGTTGTTTATATGTTATCAGCCAAACTGCATATGTTAAGTATTTAGGAGATCTTAATCTCTGTTATGTCTGTAGAATTCACCCTGCATTGGGTCAGTTGCTGATGGAGGTAGTTTACTCCACTGAGAGTAAGAGCAGAATATGGCCTGGCTAGCTGAGCATTAATACCATTGATACAGCAGCAGGGAGATAATGGGAAAGGAAAACATTTAGCCTCTATAGAAAGTTTCAGTCTTCCTTAAGAGGAACTGGGCTGCTACTCATCAAAAGACCCCTGCAATGAGAGGGCCTGAATAGTTATACAGGAGCAGGGCCACTGCTAAAAGAATTTTCTGGTAAAATAGCTATGTGTCATGTTAGTCTTATTATCTGAGTTGGTGCAGTCTGCAATAGCACAGTGCATTGTGAGTTGTCTGATTTTTGCAGAGAGCCTTACAACTTTCCAATGTCCTGAAAGAAATCACCAGAACTCAGAAGTTTGCCAACTTTGATGTTTTCTACATGGATTTCCCACTGAAACAAAGTAAGTGGCTTTTCCCTCCCCTCTCTCAAGTGGTGCTCAAACCTCATGCCAGGATGCTAACCCATCCCAATGTGTTAGCTCTGTACCAAGGGCAGGTTTTCTCAGTCAGTTTTCCTCCCTGAGAAATGCAGCCACCTTCCCTTAGCTCAGTGCTTCCAAAAGCATCTCCCTCAGTAGGAACTAACTTCTCTCCTGTGTTTCCTTCCGCACCAAAATACCACTCTACACTGACTTGAGGGTCTTGCAACACTCACCCTTATGTGATCTTAAGTGGCACTATGTAAGCACATTCCCTAAATCACTTTCTTCTGCTGCTGACATTGTACAAACAGAACTTACAGCACTACATATCACAAGGAAAGCAGAAGCTCTCCTGACAAATCAGTGGTAGAAACAGTCTTGTCACCTCCCTGCAGCAATGGGGTCATTGCCATACACTCTGTAGCCACCTCTTCCCCGAGGTGACCATCTCCATCCCTCAGCCCACAGGGCTCCAGTTTGGCCATCTTGGGGCCTCCTCATGGACTTTTAGATTCTATATATAGTACGTAATAATTAAATAAAAAAATCTGATCTGCATTCCCTTATTTTCATATTCACCAAGAGGTCCTGCTTGAAAAAATTATGCCTGAGGACCATATGTTCCTTTTTTTTTTTTTTTTTTAATGACATTTTAAATCTCAGAACGTAGACAGCTAGAAGAGCCATGAAGGGACAGAAGCAGTTGGCAATACTTCAAGGCATACATCTCCAACACCTCTCCCCATCAGCGTCTGCCCATCCTCAGTAGCACAAAGCTGCTGAGGCACTGAGGACTATTGCAAAAGTCTCAGCCAGAGCCAAAACCCATCAAACTCACAAATTTATTTTATTCTCCATGACCCAGTTCTGGGAACTGGGCTGGGTCTCATGCAAAGCACACAGAGGAGGAGGTAAAGCTTAGGATGGGATTTTTTCCATCCAAAACTGAAAGTCAAAGATGCCGACCCCATTGTCAAGCTAGGTATCATAGCAAAGAGTTTCAAGGTGGCCAAGTGTTTGCTAATTAATATTTAAGAAGACGTTGGGATTTGAAACAAACTACCTGCTGGGTAGGCAAATTACTTTAATAAGTTGAATTGCTAACTTTAGGTTATTTATTTGCTTTCACAAAAAGAAACACTCGATATAATTTGCTGTTCTTGATTACACTGCATTAAACAAATGAGGCAAACAAACACACGTGCACATACAAACACCATCACTGACAGACACCCTGCAAAGTTTCCTGCAGCCCTGGAGCCGGCGATGTGCGCTTCCATCAGTAAAGCTGTCAGCTCATGGATGCACTCAGAAACGAGCTGAGGCTGCTGACCTACTTTCTGCTCTCCTCCTGAAGCAAGTGCAAATCCTCCCCGAGACTCCCCAGACATCAAATATTTAGCAGTGGTTGCAATGCTGTGATGAGGACAATAGTTCTGGGCGGGCACGTGCCAATATCTACACAACTGCTCCCAGCTTTCTTGGATGGAGCCTTCTTGGGTATAGAGCATTTATTTGAGATTGAGGTGGGCATTCCAGTTGAGATGTTGCCTTTGGCTTAAGAACTTAGTGGTTATGTAAAGAAATGGTGCAGTAACACAGGCTGGTTTTGACTTCTCCTGGTGTGGATGTGAGCAAGCTCTGGCCTAGCCTAGCCTAGGAAATAGGCACTTTTAGGGCAATCTCTGGATGCTCTCAGTTGGTATCTATTTGTCTAAGAACAGCTCTAGGATTTTCGGAGGGCAAGTATAATAGTACACTAAACTGACCTTTGTTGCCAGAAATTTTGCTCACCTTACTTGCCTGCTGTTTCTGGCATTGGAAGGGGAGTCCATCTAAAGTACACAGCCTCATACCCAGTGTAAGAAATCATCTATAAGGAGCTGGCCAAGCTCACACCATGTGTGCTGTGTGAACCCAGTCCCTGCTGTAACGTAAGATGAACGTTTCATTATGCCCAACACACTACAGTTTGGAAATAAACCTCTGAGCCCTGTTCTTCAAAACAAGTCACTTTGGTGTCGAATAAAGCATCACAATTGCATTTCTATAGTTAAAGCAGGAATGCTGCCAATCCATGAATTCAAGGCCAGAATGAGGATCCATGCATCGCTACTTGCCACAACAGCCGGAGTCCATGGTGGTAATTCTAGGTCAAAACTATAGCACTTGAAAGGAGAATACTTTTCTCCTGACAGGATGCCTACATAACGCCATTAAGAATTCTTAATCTGTCATTATAAAAGAAATGATGAAATTGACAGTCTGTTAATGTTGTATCCGCTGGTCCCATGTTTGATCACTACAGCCCTTTTGAAGTAGGCGAGCTTTTTGCTTCTCTAATGGCTCTGGGGCTCACAGTAGAGCATCATTTGCATTGACTGTTGTGCTTATGTAATTCAAAAGGTTATTTTGTTGGAGTTGAAAAAGGCCACTGGAAAGAAATGTAACGGAAAGTGACATCCCATTCCTGCAGCCATCAGCCCCTGTGAATACTGTGTTACCATCTCTTTCTCTGAAAAGCTCTGTTTTCTTTAGCTTTTCCTTTCATATATGTATTTCCTGCTCTGCGTAAGCTGCAACCAAAGTGAAAAATACAAAAGTATTGAATCACTATTAAATAATTTATAGCTTTACTCACTACAGCACCGGTCTTATTGGAGGGAAAGGGAATTGTTTTACAATCATTTAGGTTCAAAGCACTTCCTTGCTTAAATATTTCAGATTTTAAAAAACAACAATAAAATCTTAAATACTGCCCCAAGGAGATGGAGATTGTATGCAGTAATGGCTCTGACAACTTTACATAAATTATCATAATCTTCACTCAGTGTTGCTGCGAGCTTAAAAGTACTGTGGGCATTCAGAGGAGGATGGGGGGTCCTACCTCAGTGCAGTGCAGTAACCCCTCCTCTTTTGTGCTCTGCAGCAGCCGAAGAGTGGCACAGGATGGGCGGTGAGTCCTGGCAGCTGATTGAGCCAGTGGATGGCTTCCACCCCAGCCAGGTAAAATCCTGAGGTGATGGCAGGGAGTGGTGTGGAGAGTGAGATGCCAGTGTCTGTCTGCGGTGTCTGGTTGTGCTGCAGATGGGATGGAGGACTGTGGGATTTCTCTTTTGTAAGAGATGCTGATTCAGTCCCTACCCCTAACCATGACCATGATGTTGGCCCTGCTTATACCCATGTCCATGCCTGTTCCCCATGTCCATGTCCCTTTCCCAAGCTCCTCGTCCATGTTCATGCCCCTGTATCCCACATCCTCATCCTCCAAGGCCACAGATCCCCCTAGCATATCCCAGATCAAAGCGTTCGTTTTGAAGCTACACATGTAAATTGGCTTATGCTCTACAGCTATGTATTGTGAAGAACTCTCCCCATTTCATTGCCTCCAAGGAGGGGTGGCAAGGGAAGATTTGCAGTCAGAAGTGGGTGAAAGGAGAGAAGAAACAGCAGCTCAACTGTAACCCCATGGTTTGGGCTCACTGGTCTTGTGCTAGGTTTGCCTAGTTTCCATCATGTTTGCTTTTGGAGTACTCCTTTCTGAACCTGTACAGTGTTTTTAAGAGCAATCAGCTCTTAAATCCTGTGATCAACTACAACAAAGCAATTCTTTCTCTACAGCTTCAGGTTTCAAACACACACGTATTTGGAAACAAATACATACTTGAAATTTGAGAAGTGAAGCAAAAGAGTGTCCCATCTTCCCAAAACCACCCTGTGTAAAACTGCCCCTCAAATGACAATACCACATAGTTGTTTCCCATGCTCAAAAGAATTTAGGAGGGAGATTTATAATGGAAGACAACACCCCACATATGTTCACTCCCACACCACCACCAATTAACCCAATGCAATGCTAGTGGAAAAGAACTCCTAGGAAAGAGTGGAGGAGTATTTCATTGGGCACACATTCCAAGAACTGCATTCCGAGCTGCATTTCAGCAGCTTCCACACTAACTGTCTCTTCAGCCAGTGGAGAGCTGCATGGGGAAATCCAAAGCCAAAATAAGTGTTTTTCTTGATATCCTTTACATCTGTGATGATCAGGTGAAGCAAAATGGTCTCTAGCTCACCCTTGCCGTGCCACAAAATCTTCCTGTTCCCAAAGGGACTCTTTCACGTCAGCATTAATGCCTGCTTGGCTACCAGGTGCTGCCATAAGATAGCTGCAGGGAGACACAAGATTGCAGCCTGAGGACATGGGGAAAGTGTGCCTAGATTTTTTGCTGCCGGCCTTTTGAAAGGAAGCAATTAGAGAAAACTTGGCAAATGAAACGGGTGTGAAAACAGCGATGAAATCAAACCCGTTTCCAACCATGCCATCTGGGGAAACTGCTCGTTGAGAGTCTGGAGGTGAGCAGATAAGCTATTTGTGGCTGTTTTACACCTTAACCTGAGGGTGTACACGGCCACCAGCAAGAGACCACCACAGGAGCCAGGCTCTCCAGGTCACAGCCTTTCCAACACGCTCCTGCCTACATCCTGCAACACAGCACAGCATGGAGCCCAGCAAGCACTTGCCTTGAAGGGAAGCTTCCTAAGCCAGAAGAAAATGACAGAAGGGCATAGAAGGGCAGCTGCAAGCCTACACACATCCAACTGCTGCCGTATTTTCTCCCCCCAGGCCCAGCATCCTACAGTCATTACATTACATTCTCCCTCTCCTGCTGTTAGGTTGACATTAATGCTTTTATAGGTACGTTTTCCCATACAGTCAAGGTGCCAGCTGTAGATATGCCTCACTTCAAGTGAGTTATTTCCCTTCTAGGGTTTATTAATTAGCCTTATCCAAACATCCACCGCTTTAAATCCATTTTTCTTTTTCCTGCTATCATACACAAGCCTGTTATCAACACAGAACTATTTGGGCTGAGACACAGCACTCTGCTCTGAACGAACAGCTCTGGCAGTACAAAGCAGGGGAAGTTTGAGCACAGCATGGTTTTTAAGAGTAAGCTTGAGAGAGATGACAAACAACTCGCTCACTCCTCATACAAGTTTTATTTAAGGTTTGACTTCATACCAGCCTCTGGCCAGGTACAATTTTAACACCACTTAATGCTGCCTAGCACAAAAGAGTTGATACCCTGCAGCTTGCCAAGGGATTGAGGTCTCTTACCTCCATCTCTGCAGCAATTCCTCACTCATCATGTACAGCTCAGCAAATAAATATGATGAATAAGTCCTTGCCTGGACAGTTTTGCTGCATTTTTCTCAAAGCAGATCTCAAAGCATTTGAGAAATATTCACAAATATTTGAAGTGAGCAGCACTCCGAGGAAAGCATAGGCATTTTAGCTGTTGCTAGAGGGACACCATGATTGATCCCCAGTGGTAGTGAAACTCCTAAGGGCAGGAGAAGTCTGAACTCTGCCCCCGAGTTTCACTTGCCCCTTATCTGCTATCTCATTAATGACAGAAAACCATAACTCAGTGGTATAACCAGGTGTATCTGATAGATCACTGGTCCAACTATACAGGAAGAAAGCGGAAGGGAATTGCATCTTTCCAAAAGCCACATACAAATCACTGCAAAGAGAAGGAAGAAGAAAAAAAGAAAAAAAGACAATGATACGTACGTCCCATCAGAGCTACTCTGTTTTCTCATGCATTGAAAAAGGCTAGCTTAGGACACTTCAGTTAAATAGTGTCCATAGAGAGTAATTGATTCTTAAAAATCCTTAAAAGAAGGGAAAAACACCAAGCACTCATTTGTTTAGCCCAGCCAAGAATTGTGTCCTATAAAAGCGTTCCCGGGGGACGAAGGGCATTTTCCTGTGTGTTTTCATTAAGCTGCAAAGTTGAAGACTGTGAATACACATTCTTGGCATAATCCTCTATCTCAGGTTTCAAAGGTGAAATTTTGCTCTGCAGATTTTGCATCTTTTATTTATTTTTTAACCAAAACTCACAGACCAAGCTCTAAGTGGACAAAAATCACACAATTTAACACCTAAAATCAAGGCACGTAACTCAGTCCTCTTAAGATCCCTCTAGAGTAATATCTCTGAGACAGTGCTCCCTCAGGTCCTGCTCAGTTGCCCTTGGAAGAAATCTGACTTTCTCTTCCCACTGACTACAGGGGGAGCCCAGGGAGTTTTTCAGTATCTCTTCCATTCTACAAATCTCACTGCAAACCATCCTGAGTGCCAGATGGTTTCAAGGACATTGCTTCTCTCTGGAACAGCTGATTGCTTTGTTTGTATGGAACAGCCATGCATTTCAACAGGATCCTGTACAAATTGCTTCATTTCTTGCTTTTACGAAGTTACCACAGAGAATGTGAAAGCCCTGAGCATCACAAACTGTAAACTGAGATGCTTGGAAGAGTCTTAATGGTTATGTACAGGCAGGAAAGCACAGCTTGACTGTGATTAGATTCTCCCTTTTTTCTTTCGTTAAGTCTGAGCAAAACACATTACAGCCAGGAAAAAGAAAGGAAGAAAAATAAAGGGAAAAGCTAAAACAACACACATCAGATTAGTTGTGTATTTACACTTTGCTGAGAAGCGTTTCCCATCCTCATCTTTGTGCAGAAGAAAAAACCATCCAAAAGCTGCTAACACAGCACAGCCACCTCCCAGTCACGGTCACCCAGGGCTACACAAGGAATGGGCAGTATTTGCTTTAAAGGCTGATTAGGATTTGTCAGCCTCATAGAAAATCATCATCATCACAAAAACCACGTGATCTGTAGCTGGTCTCAAAGCACGAGATGTTTGGGATTGAAAAAGGGTCTACAATTTCTCTCATTGTGAGGCCTTCTGTCTGTGCCTCACTGCTCGTCCAGGGTAAATTATCCAAACCATCAGCACCACACGAACTGTTGTCTGAGCAGGACCTGCACAATTTAGGGCATTCTGAGTACGTGTGTCTTCAACTGCAGCCAACAGCAGCCTGAGCACTGCAGTGCACACCTCCTGTAATACTTTTTCTGAGGGCGCATCATGAAAAGACAGTGTTTTTTCTTCCAAAAGCAAACAAAATCACTATAGGGAAGGCTTAGGGACTTGTGAAGGTGGGTTGGAGACTCCCATACTGGGGCAGACCCCTCTGACGTAGACAGGTCTCAGCCATCTTGAGGCTTAGGGTGTCCTAAAAGAACTCTTTGGTCACTTTTAGGAATTGCCCCAAGAAAAGACACTGTGTTTCACAATTTCCCCTATCCCTCTCCCCTACCCAACGTCTCTGCTTAATGAGGTCGCAACCAACAAGAATCTAAGAGCTTCTACCCCATAGGTGTGACTCTTTGTGCACGAGCTCTGAATAAAAGAAAGTTTTCTTCTCCTGGTTTCTCCAGGCCCTCGTTACTTCAAAAGCACAGCATTACAAAGAAGTGCATAAAACTTCCCCAAAGGTTCCAGCCTGTTCCCAAATGTTGAAACTTTAGTTCAAACACTTTAGTTCTTTGAACCCATCTTGGCCCTTAACAAAATGGCTTTGTTAGCCCTGTTTAAATCTCATAGTTAATGTTAGCACGAGCTTTAGGGTTGAAAGTAAAGTTACCATATAATTGTAGAAGTTAAAACAAAAAAATGCATTTAGCAAAGTGTAAAAACTTGTTTAAAGGCGAATCAGGCTGTCTCCTATTTCCCTTCCTCCTTGATGTTTTTCACCCTAGCAATACAGTAGAAACAATTTCTCTCTAGTGAATAACTTCTAGGGCAAACACTCCATGAAAAGCAGAGCAGTTCTGGTAGTGAGAAGAGCTATTTTACCACTTCCAGCAGCTCTCCCGGGAAAAGGCTCTGTGAACTCAGAGAAGCAGAGGTGGTTGGTTTTGATCCATAATTAGACCTCTTTTTCCCAGCACCTATGGTTTCCTTATAGGATATCAGAGCGAATAGTTATTAGAAGTATTAGAGGAACTCAAGAGCTTGAAAGCCTTTGGACTGGCAAGAGATTTATGCATTCTATCTGAGCAGTGCTTTTGTAAAACTTTCATAATTGTTAGGAGAGCCAGATCCTATGGCTTTAGAATAGAAGTTCGTTGCCCAGACATCATAGGTGTCAGGAAACCGTTGGAGACCTGGCTGCCTGCATTTATCATCTCTCTACTTTTCTGTAACTGACAAAAGAATTTGCAAAGACAAAAGACAATACGTTGTTAATAGAAGGTGGAACTTTATGCTTGCAAACTGCTTCCAAAAAAGAAAATTAATATAGTAATTTACATCTTAAGAAAGAAACTTTCAGAGGTCATATCTTTATTTTCACTTTATTGTTGATAAATCTAGTTTTGGCACTGGTCAGGGAGGTGCAGATACTTAATCTTTATTTTATTTTCACTGTTCAAATGGATTTTCCCCGTTAAAGCAGCTGGATTGAGCTTTTCTTTGAGGTTACAGTCCATCATGTTTAGTCTGGAGAAGAGGAGGCTCAGGGGAGACTTTATTGCTAATTGCTTTATTGCTGAAAGAAGATGGTTGGCAAAGTGGGGGTCAGCCTCTTCTCCCAGGTAACAGCGCTAGGATGAGAGGAAAAGACCTCAAGTTATGCCAGGGGAGGTTCAGTTCAGGTCATAGTAAATATTTTTTCACAGAAAGACTGGTAATGCGTTAGAACAGGCTGCCAGGGAGGTGGTAGAGTCACCGTTCCTGAACCCATTGGGGGTGGGTTGACTGTTGGACTAGATGACCTTTTCCAACTTTAATGATTCTATGATTCTATGTGAACATAGAGAGGAGTTTTCTTTCTAGTGGGGACTCCTAAGTGCTGGTATGAAATGTCAATTTCTGTCTCTACAACACAGACAGTATTATCTGTGATGTTTACAGATTGCTGCAGCCCTGGGAACAAGCGTTACCTGGCAGAAGGCACTACACGAATGGCCTCAAGTGCTTGGAAAGGAGAATCCATTCAATGATCAGATTGAAGCTATATTCAAAGATCAAGGTGGACATTGATTCCCACTTTGACAAAGCCATGTCTTATGGTGATGCTTCCGAGTACATTCCAGGAAACAGAATTATTAGAGACCAAAAAACAGAAAGAAAGAAAAAAGAGGAAGCAAGTTATCAGAGCTAAACTTTTCTGTTCTTCAAAATAGCAGTACAGAGAGCCAACAGTGCTGAAGTTAGCATGACTGCATTCTTTTCAACATTGCATCTCAAGCTCCAAAGTCATCCACCTGCACAAGTAGGCAAGTTTTTCCGTGGAGCTTCAAAAATAAAAATCAAAGGATACCTGCCAGCTAGACCACTTATTGTGCCGGTTTGCAAATCCAGAAGATTTTTTTCAACATAGAGCAAACCTCATTGTTTTCCTTACGGAACATCATTTCTGGACTTCCCATTTGTACTGTTTTAACAGCTAATCTGATCCCAAAAGGACAGGGGGGCACCTCTCATTTTGAGACTGTATGTGTATTTGCCCTGACTATTATTAGTACATTATTTAGCTGCTGTTTGCTTATTAAAGTGTGCCAGGAGTAACAAGGCACTAGGAATTAGATTTGCCTGGCAGCATCAGGTCAGCCTGAGCACATGTTCTCTTCCCCACCATTAGCAAGCTGGTAACCTTACAATCTTTAATGTATTTAAAACAGATTACTTTTTAAAGCTCTAACATCTTCACTCTTCTGCTTCATAACAAACACAAGATGCTCTCTCCTGCTTGTTATGTAGGCATGCCCTCAGGAACCACCGAAGGTAACAGGCAGCTCTTACTTGCTCTACTTCATAAGTAGGATTGAAGACTGAGAAATAAAAGTGGTCTTAACACCAGCTAATCCAATATTACTGGAAAATTAAAAAAAAAACAAGAAAGAGCTCACTACCACAACAATAAAATATCCAATCAAGATTAGAGACAGCTCTGCTAGCAGCCCTACTGGTTGCATCAAGTTGTACTGATTACACAGGGAAAATCATGGTAAATAGAAGGTGCTAGCATGGCATGACTGAACCCATCAGTTAGCCAAAGTTTGGGTGTACTTGGTCTGCTTTTTGTTCTGGCAGTGTCCTCTGCATAAGGCTGTGTCAGCTGTGACCCAGCCCTGAGTCTGCTTGACAAACTGAATGAGGTGGCCTGGCTGTGCACGGACCTGAGCACTCTGGCTGTGTCTGCACGAGATGCATCTGCTCAGCAGTTTGAATAGGCATACAAGGACTTGAAAATGTTATAGATCTTCTGTTTGTTTGTTTGTTTTTTTAGTCAGTGCAACACCATTTATTATGGGACTTATAGGACAACTGTTAACATTTATAAAAATATTCTAGTTACCTGTTTTAGGAAATCAGGAGGAAATAAATTCCTTAATTGAATTATACTTACTAATAATGTTCCCATTCATTCAAGGCATTTAGGTGTTATCAAAATATCCACCATCTCCCAAGAAATAGTTTGAACCCATCCTTCCTCACACATGCCTCTGCTATCAAGCGTTAGAGATGGGAAAAGGAAACCTGCCTGCAATACAAAAGCTCTCTGCCAAAGAGAATAGTGTTCAATGTATGTATGCCAAGCCAGCCTCCCTATCTTTCATTAAAAGCACCACCAGGACAGAAATCAAGTGCATCCACCTCTGGTTTTGCTATAGAACAGATACAACAGGACAATACCTATGGAACTGTGTCAGATAATCTCCTGTACACCCATAAGGAAATGAAGCAATTAAAAAGGGGGAAGAGAACAGCATGTGTTTAGAAGCCAAATTTTCAGGCAATCTCATTGCAAATCACTCTGTTTCATTTTAGGTTAGGTTTTAATAATGTCAATTAGGAGTTATAAAAGCTAGTGAAAATGAAGTTTCCTCAGTTAAAAAAGATTCATTGCCCAGAGCAAAGCGTTTTCCATTTGTAGAATTTCTTATTAGTAAACATCATGAAATTGTGAACCATGGAAAAAGCCTTCTTACAAAATTAGAACATCCTCTCAATCAAGAGAAACCTGAAAGCTCCAAAGGCAAATCTCAAAGCTCTCAGATTTGCCCTAGCAGTGTTACTGCTGTGTGCTTGATGCAGTCCTTGAGGGACTTCATAAAATGGGCTCACCCTTGGCTGCAGGAGCCCTGAGCAAACCTCATCCTCATGCCTCAGCAGCAAACTCTGCAGTTCAGCATTAAAATCAGGCTAGATGCAAAGATCAGATTTGTAACTAAGGCAGTAACTATTTGCAAATATAGAGGAGGGTTGTTAAGCCTCTATTTGTATCTCTGTTATTTAAAAAATATTTAAAACAGCTGAAGACCTACAACCTCAACCAAACACTGGTAACTGAACACCATATATTGAAATAGCTGATTCTGGCAAAGCTTAATTAATCTAAAGCAGCAGCAAATGATGAATTGTACTCTGTTCCCTTGATTTAACTGTTTTGATGCTTAGATTAGTTGATTATGACAAACGTTACTAGTAATTCCATTTGTATTTTAGATGACAAAGCATTAAGTTCATGTGAGTTATTTTTGAGATAAAGAACTGCATCTGTAACTACCAGGAGCTATTTGAATGCCCTTGGTCTGGCTTCTTCCAAAAGGCTCAACTAAATACAAGAAAGTTCCAACCTGTAGAGCAGACAAGTCTCACCCTTCAGTGACATTTGTCTGAATCTTTTCAAACCCTGGAGCTGTATTTGGGTTTCTGCTTCAGCAAAAGCAGAGATAAAACCCTAACAACCCTGCAAGGTCTATGCAGAAGAAAGAGCACAATCACTTTCTAGTGTTAAGAGTAAAAATTTAAGTAGAACGATCGCTCTTGTATTTCTGCTTTCAACATTCATCAAGGCTTCAATACACCAGCAGCCAAAATAACATAGAAACTTACTCCCCCTCACACCAGCATTTTCTTTGCTCCCTCATGCCTACCTTGTAATGCCCAGAAAATAGACCACCACTTCTGAGAAAGAAATGTCACTGCTCACCTCTAGAGGAACCATGGAAGTCTGATAGGAGAAGGTTCACAGCAGCATGGTTCAAAGAGTGTAACTGGAAGACTTCTGCTAAGCTTGTGTCACATTCTTCTGCCTGCAGGCAACCATCACTTGCAGCTTGTGCTTGGAACTCACCATCAAGGCCAGCTTTTCTATCTTGCATAAACTGTAACAGGTGACAAATTTCCTTGTTGAGAATATTTTTCAGCGTAGGCAATGAACAAATGCTAGTTTCTATAGTCCTTTTAACCTAAATAAAAGTATGCCACTTACCTCTATGTTTATAGACTCTTGCTTCATATCTAATGATTTTTATTAACATCTTCTTGGAAGAATAAGGTAAGTGGATGGTCTACCATGATTACATTTACTCTTCCCCTACTTATGTTGTATTGCTACTCTGCTGTCAAGTCTCTACCATAAGGGAAAAGAACCCTTTCTCCTTGTTGCATTCAAACTGCTGGTCTCTAGCAGTCTCTACATCCAGATGTATTATTCCAACCAGTTCATGGTAACCACCCATCAATAATTTGGTCTCCCATTGCAGAACTCAATGCTAGGTACCCCTGAGGCAACATCTTCCCAAATAAAGATTTCAGGATACATATACTGAATAGAATCCTTTCCCAAATATCATGTGGAGTCTATCTTCTCTTCTTTAACCTACAAACTAGTGCCTCAAAAGCATAGATGACATTAGAAGTAGTTACATAGCGTTTTATTTTTTTATTTTAAAAGGATAAAATAAATCTCAATACATAATTTGGAAATATTTAAAGACATTGGAAAAAAGAAAAGTAGATTTAAAAGCAAAAGTACAAAAGTGGCAGTTTGAGATAACAGAATTTAGTGTTTCAAGTGTGAAAATACAACAGCTAAACAAGGATTCCACTATTGCATTTGTAATAGTGGGGTAATGAGATAGTATTTCACTAAGAACAGTGAAAAGCTATGAAAATGGCAGATTTTAACTGAGTAGTTTTGGCAGTTTATGGTGGGTCTGTAGTACTGTTTTTATATGCAATTACAGACATTTATGGCAGGAGGAAAACCCATACTTTCTGCCAGAGTATTAGTTGGTAGATAGCAGCTTTATAGTCTTACAGAAAAAAGCTATTTTACAACCTATTCCTGGCCCTCAAATGGAGTAGAATTCAAGCTTGTACGAACTGTGAGGTCCAGGAAATACTAACATACACAACCCTAAAGCTAAAAATTATTTTTAAGATAGCAGTCCTACCAAAAATATTCAAGACCTTTCATTTCTATCAAAGTGCAATATACTGCATACATAATTCCACACCTGTAAACGACATAGTATACATGTCATACACTTATCCATACCAGCTTGTACAAGAAACAACAAAAATATTTAAAACAGAAGAAGCATGAGTATTGTGAATATCTCCTGTTCTGACCACAAGGATACTGTGCAAGCAAGAAACGCCTATATTGCATGCTTTAGAATAAAATTTAACTTCTATGCCTGATCATTATGAAAAAACCCTCCAAAGTCAAAGTTCCTGCTTCAGCACCTTTCTTCTCAGAGAACTCTGAACTACTCATTCAGGGAGCTGAGTTAGCTAGTAAGCTTGTGTTTTCACTAGCTCCCCCCCGGCCCTGAGCCCTGAAGTGCGATTTCCTGCAATAATTTAGTTTTTCAAGAAGAGAAAGTACTTAGCTAAAAACACATCCAAAAAGTTATATAAATATTTAGCACATTTAGAAACAGCTAATTGCTTCCTACTATACTCAAAAGCTATGAAATGAGTTTTAAAATCCTTAAAGTGAGACAAAAATACTGCATAACAGCCCTATATAAAGGTATGTACTCTCTCAAATTTAAAGCTTAGTGATCCAGATGACTTTCCATAGATTTTTATTTAATTTTTTTTCCTTTTTAGTTCACATGGCCTTTTGCATAGGTATTTTCTTCATGTTCTCCTTCCTGTGGTTAAAGCTTTCCAATTGGTTTGTAGCAAGCATCAGGTTGCCACATACGAAGATCAACAAGAACTTGATTTAGCTTTTGCATCCAGAGGTTACGTTCTTCCTTAGTATCAGCAGATAGCCAATTCCTAAAAAGCAAAGAACTCAATGAATTAGATATCTTCCCCCCTCTTCTACATAGATTCAGAAAAAGGTCAAGCTTATCTACAGAATCCCAAATAGCAAAGGAAAAAATGAAATCAAGTATTCTAGAATTCTGTTAAGTTCCACTAAACCACTTGGCATTTCTACTTTTAAGAACAGAGAGAACTCAGCATTTCCAAAAGAATGAAGCATGATAATAAGACAAAACAGGACTAAAAGTGAACAAAATTTAAGTATGATCCCCAAAATCTACACATTTAAATGAATGCTGCATTGGCATGCCAAAATTGTAAAGCTACATTAAAACCATGACACGAGGCAAGACAATCCCTCCCTCTTCATAAAATACATGAGGTTCCTGATTTTATCCACTTACTTTGTAACACAGAGCGTGTCTCTGCATTGGCTGACAAGAGTCTCTTTATCATCTTCCCTCTGAGGACGGACAGTTATTAGTTCAAAAGTGTTGGGACGGGCACAGAACTCCCTGTTGACAGCTTCAATCTGACGATTAGTGCAGTTAGCCAAGTTTATCCGGCCCAAAGGATGCTGAAAGTCAAGTTCACTCATCAGCGAAGAATACTGCTATAATTAATAATTCTGATCATGTTTTAACAATTTTTATTTTTGAAATGAGATCTCTCCCTCAATAAATAGAAGTAATCTACTTTCCACATTGAAGAGAGCCATAGGTGAGAAAAAACAGACAGTGGAATACACCCTTCCATATACAATACAGTTAACAAATCTATCCCTCAAAGGCTTAGCCTTTAGAAAGATATATTCACACGTTTTCAAGAGAAGCTTTGCTTTGAAACTCTCATTCAAGGGAGCTTCATAATAAAATCTAACCTGATTGAGCAAACGCTATCAAAGCCTACAGAAAGCAAGAACTTCAGGGATGCTTGCATCATTCCTGTCAGTCTGTAAGCATATGGATTCATCTGTAAACATGCAACTAATGCACTTAGCTGCAGAGACTAGCTACTTTAGCTCCCTCTGTAGTTAATGGCTAGCCACTTTTAAAGAGCATTTTAATTGTCAAGGTGGTTATCCCTTTTCACTGAACATGGATAGTTCATGTAATTTAGGTTACAGGAAAAAGGATAGCTCCATTTCAACTAAAATTAAGAAAGAATATATCCATCAGAATGTGTATTCCCAACACAGAAAGCTTATTTTAAATAAAATATCATTTAAAGCAATAATTGCCCAATACTGATATTTCTGAGCTATGTCTACCACACGTGATAGAACAGACATAAAACATTTACAGCAATGGTAGAATCTCTCTTTAGACAGTAGTCAGGTATATTCTTTTATATACCTGTATCATTCTTTTAGTATATCTCTGTCACTCTAAGAAAGATAAATCTAGAACATTTTCAAGAACAAAACAGTCTGGAAGGCAAACCAAAGCAGCTTTGGTGGACTAAAGGAGAATAAGAATTTTTTTTCTTGATCATATCAATTTTCAGTTTGTTTTTTTTTTTTTTAAATGTTATTACTACATTATAGTAAACAGATTATTTTGCACTCTCCTGGCAAGGAAACAGAGTACACTGATATATTTTGGCAAATATCAGCATTTGTCTTCCTTTGTTAGCTGGAAAGAAACTAAATTCGGGCATCTTGATTGGCATAGAAGATCCATAAGAACCAGAGTTTGTCACAGTTTGGGGGGAAGAAGTGCTGTGCCAACAATCAAGTAAGTATTTAATGGTAAATTGCTTAAGTGAGTCAGAAAAACCCTCTTGAAAGCAGTTCTTACAGTAACTGGAAACGTTTTAGTGCATGTCACAGGAAGGGCTAAGGAGACACAAGGTTCACCTTAGTGACAGATGAACCTCTCTGATTTGGCTCATTAGCCAGACAATAACACAGGTTTATGTAAGAGCCACTTAAAAGCACCAATTTCAGTTATAAAAGAGAGATCCAAGAAAGCAGCAACTGCAAACAACATAGTCCATAATTACAGCCATGCTTACACAGTATAGAAAGATTGTCCAATCTCACTTTTCACTATATTGAGTGTTAAAGTCAATGTTTAGTCTAAAATTTAGGGCAATTGGATACAGCCTGCTTATTAACCTGTACAAACTTGGTCAATTTCAATTAAATAGCCTCTACATTACTCATTTGACAAATACAGTAGGAAGTTTTAAGGCTAAAAGGGTAATTGAATAGACTTTCTACTAGTTTTCCCCTTCCCCAACAGATAAAACAGTCAGTTTCTACTTTTGCCTTGGTTTATGTCACATTTATGAAGACAAGCCTTCTCCATCCCCAGAGGAAGCTTTAGAAGTTTGAATCTCATGCTCTGCATGTAGTTACCCGAAACCTAAAGTATCATTTATTTAAAAAGATCAGCAAATAGCATAAAGTATTACAGAACATCAGTCTTGAGCTTTATGGCCAGTACTACCTTCCGTTTTTCATCATCTGGGTATGTCCAGTAAGATATACAGTTTCCAGAAAGCACACACCAGCGCCTGTGCCATGCTCCAAATCCACTAACGTCTTCAAACATAGTCTTGTAAAAAAGAAAAAAGTGTTAATGTTATACTTTCAGTTTGGTCTGCACTCAACTATTTTTTCCTACAGAATGGTTCTGCTAATAAAACCCTTCACTGCAGTACACTTAAGTAGGAGAAAATACCTACTGGGAGAGACTTCTAATATGTACTTATTTTCCAGATAAAGTGGAAAATCAGTTTAAAGCTATCACTCTCAAGCCTTTTGATCAAAATGCACCTATCACTGCTATTACAAATGATTAGATTTTTAATATTGACAATGTTAAGCATTCCCATTATTTTCAGATAATGGAGGGTAACATATAAAAGACACTTTCTCAGTGGTTCACAGACTATGTACTAGTATAGCACAAGCTATTGTGGTTATGTATTTAAGTTACCTTGATTTAAAGTCAGGATCACAAAGTTTATATCTGGCTATTCCCCAGGCTACACTCAGGAGTCCACACAGTTTAAAAGAAACCAGAAAATAATCTTAAAATAAACTACCAACAAAAATATTTATGGGACACAGGATTATGCTTGTTTCAAGGCTCATTTCCTTAGTATTACAATGGAAAGCTTACTGTCTCCCTTCTCTCCCTGATTCTTCATGAACTTGTACAAAACATTTTCTTCCAATTAACTTTCGTATGTTGTTTTCTACTTTTTGTAACTTAGATAATACATTTTTAATAAGGCAGGGAGTTTCCAAACCTTCACTTTGGAAAAAAAATACATGCACTGCTCTCCAGGTTTTCCGTGTAACAGAAGTAAACAAATATGTTTGAAAAGCAGCATACAAAACATGGGATATCAAACACTACAAGCACGTGAAACGTTTGCATCTAATCAAAGCTGAACAGACTTCATTAAGAGAGACCGAATTGCTTGAAAAAAAATTATGAAAACACTAGAATAAAAACAGTTTGATGGCTTGCTGAAGTATTTTCATAACATATTTACTGCCATCTGCTGGATACAATCTCAACAACTCCATCTGTTAGACCAAGTGTATTTTCCAAAGCCCAGCTTGAGAGAACGAACTGCTTAAGGTGTCTCTAAAAAGTAGCTTAAGTAAAAGCCTGTGCATACAGTGAAGTAAGCATCTTTTGCTAAAGATAATCTGTTCATACCAGAGCAAAATAAAATCCAAGATGCCTCCTATGAGCTTCTGGCAGTGAAATAAGAATCTCATGTCACATACAAACAATGGCAAAGGAAGTTGAATTGAAGTTTGGAATAACAAGCAAACTGTTAATAAGAAAAATGTATACAAGCTAAAATGTTAACAAAAGGGAACAGAAGGAAAGACAGCTTTCATTGAGGCTGGTTCAGAAGACAAAAGAAAGGTTTGGGGGTTTGACTCAGGAAGAACAAATATAGTCAGCTTTGTTAAGTTTTATTATCAGGTAAGTTAAAATAGCAAAGCAAGTATATTTAGTAAGACCTGTTATTTCCAAGGAAGGAATTTGAAGTGAATACTTTACCAAGAATCCTTTTTCCTCCACAGAAGAGTCCACTTGGCATTTTAACTTTAGATATATATGACCTTCCAAAGGAGACAAAACGGGAACCTGCAAAAGGGTAAAACAATTAGTCATCTAATTTTGACACTCTCCAACATCTGCTCTAGAACTCAAGCAAGCCACCTGCACCAGCATGTTAGCATTGTCTTGTTCTTAGGACCTCCAGCCAGAAAAAAGTGGTCAGCCTCAAGCAAGACAGCAATAATCACTGATTGTTTCAAGATCATTGAGAAGGTTTGAGAGACTTTTTGCTTATTAGCAAAAACTCAGGATGTAACACAAGCATGCTTCTATCTAGAAGCAACAGGCAACCCAAGCACTGTTATAAACAACACATGGCAGCAGTCCACATCCTGCAAGCTTCTGCCTAGGTTTGACATTAAGCTGCTTAGAAAACAAAGTGAGCTCAAAAAGGATTGGTGCTTAGATGCTATAAGCACCGTTGGTAGATATTGATGTAATTGTGACTACACAGATAAATATTTGTGCAAAAAGCCTAGAAGGGGAAAAGTAATGAAAGCAGTTATTCCTGATTCCTTCAAGGTGCTGAAGGCCTGTGCTAAGTCACCTTTAAGTTCCAAACCCTACCTTCAGCAACTAAGGAAAGTAGAAGGAAAGTAGATTAACTACTGCACAAGAGGCCAGCTGAGGGTAGCTCAGTTTCCAAGAAGCTTGAGGAAGAACATGCAATGAAAATTAACTTTGGACTTCCCCCAGCCCCTCCATGCATAGCATCGCAATAGCGGTGAGTGCTCCTGTCACTTCTATTAAAAAAAAATATCACAGTCCTTTTTCCTACAGGCAAAAAGAGAAGTTACTAACTAAAATAAAAGAATTCGCAGGGCACTCCAGAACAAAAAATACTGTAATACTATTTTGTGTCAGACAGAAGCACTTCGGAGATTTTGAGAAGCGTATTTGTAAAGAGTTCTGTGACAATAAAGCAAAAAGGTTGTATAGCAAACCAAACTTTTCAGTTATGCAGAGTATGCAATACTATTAGTAAACTTAAAAAGGTCTCAGAACATCCTCCTATTCATATAATAAGAGAATGTTATATTCTAGTCAGCAATATATCTCTTTCAGGACAAAGTGGAGAAGGAATAGGGGGGAAGCAATCTGTTGAATAAACAGCTAAAGGAAGAGTCCCTGACTAGGCTAGCTTGCCTTCTGGTGTGGTCATTCAGGTATCTGCCATAAAAAGAAGCTGGTTTGCTGTAACTGAAGATTATCTGTAAAGAATTTCATGATAACCCTCAAGTCATTAAATTTATCACGTCCTTAATTTTGAGAAAAGAAAAACATTCTTTTTTTCTGAGATGCAAGGAGAATTAACTACATAATGCTACTTTCAGAGATAAAGACCAATTATTTAAGTACATTGTTTGATGTAATTCCTAGAAACCTAATAATGCACACACCAAGCAAAATATTTCAATTGCAAATTTGTGTACAGGTAGGAACTTCACTTTTTTGAGTATTTCCACAACTTTCGTCCTCTTTAAAAAAGATCTAGTTTGAAGAAAATTAGAACTGCTCACAATGACAGTAAGTTGAGTTAAGCCAATATTTAGGTTGCTAGTGTCTTTTTCTTTGGCCCCTCATCAGCAGAGTAGCTGATCTTACATTGTATGCAGTTCATCAATAATTTGGCTTACATTTCCTGACTAGCAGTCTTTAAGAGGCATCAGTTTGATTCAAAGCCTCCCTCTAGTGATCTAGAAAGATAAGACACACTAGTTAAGGAAAGCCCTAAATGTTTTAAATAAATGAATTCTCACAGCATCCTCAGCATTGTACAATACAAGGAGTAGAATTCTGGTTTTAAAGGCTCCTAGCATCTTGTTAGCATCTTGTAAGCTTTTTTTTTTTCCCCCTAAGAAGAATTTTTAAAACATGCATAAGATCAGAGGGCAGACATATAAGCAACATGCACTAGGAAGCCAGATTCCTATTTAGTGATAAACTGAGCAATTATAGCAACCTTGTCCCGGAACATATAGCTCAACAGTTCTCTTTCCTCCCCTTCAAAATTCATCTATGAAAAAAAGAAATATGCTCAGCATTGTGAGAATTTAAAAAAAAAAAAAAGAAACCTTAAGAAATAAAAGAGGGTGTGGGGAACAGTTATACAGGAATTGATTTTTGTTCTTTCTAGTTTTAGAAATGCATATAAAATGACAGGAGTGAGAATCGAAACCCGCTGAGTTAGTCAATTTCATATTAGAAATATATGGAGTAAGTTCATAAACAGATGTTTAGTACAGTCAAAGGCCAAGGTAAAAATGAAAGTCTGCGGAGATCGTAATTTCACAAAAGCTCTCCAACGAAAAGGGGGCTTCTTATTCACAGCTGTCGAAGTTAGGCACCTGGAAACATTTAACTAAGCCATGTTTTCCCTAGAAATTTGTGTGAACATTGTTCCATCCTAAAGATGAATCTAAAAAGGTTCAAATCCAGATTGTCAAATATAAATTAAAAGCTGTTTCCCCTAATTTTCAGAACAAGGAGTTTCCAATGACTAAACCACGTGCAAAGTAAGACTTAAACATAGCTCTTGCTAAGAAGAATATTTATGCTGAAGACTCAAAGTCAGTACTTTTATATAGCAGCAGTGCCATTCAACTGCAAGTTCTCAGACGGTTTCAGAAAAGGAATCTGGATCTATACATAGAAGATAAACCTTCTGAAAATCAAATTGAGATTGTTCTGATATTTTGTTTTTAAGCCGTGCACAAACCACTACTCTTATAGTCTCATCTCGTCAGAAGCTCTTGTTGCAACACTACTTTCATCACAATATGTTAGTTAGAATTCTAAGAAAAAACTTCTTTTGATACTGCTGTTTGGACAGATAAAATTGCAAATCAATATCAGCATACACTGCAGTAGCTTGTGAATTAACTTAAGCTAGTTTTAGGACAGCTGCTGGCATAAACATTAAAATAGTTTTAGGTTAAAGACATTACAAGGTTACAGTTTCTAATGAATGCAAGAATGTAGTTTTTCTAACTGGCAATGGCAAGAGCCAGTAAAGTTATGTGGACAAAGGACTAACAATATAAAACTTGGTAATAGCTCTTGCAAAAAATATTGCTTGTTTTTGAAAAGGTTAGTTGGGCTGCGAAAGGAAACCCATACTCTTATCTGAACTCATACTGAGGTTTTAAAGTCATTAAAATGCAGAGAACTTGAAATATTTAATCATCATTACAACACAGTACCTTATTTATCTATTCAGTAATAAGCTATTGATTAACATAAGACAGTAAAAGCAACAAACAACATGAAGTCTACGTACACAAAGATGTCAGTTGTATAGATCAGTTTTGTCAGGGACAGCAATCAGTAACCACATGCTGACATTAGCTTTGCATAACTACACTACACACTGATCTTACAGAGAAGAACACACCTATCATGAGAGCATACCTTTCTTTCTGATGCATCTTAAATTGATGTTTCAGTCATTTCAAGCTAGTATCAGTAAAACCACTTGCGTTCATACACACACGTGTATATAATTTTTTGCCTAGATTTTCTAGAACTGCAATTTTACCCAGGAAGAGTAAACTCATTTTTTTTTTTAGAGGTATGTGATTATCTTACAAAGACAGTAATCTCCATTACCTTGTCCAATGCAAATTTGGCATGTCCTACAGAAGACAACGATAGCTTGTGGGATCCAACAAGGATGAAATTAGTAGTGCGTACAGCATTAGGGCCACCTGGACTGGCCATGGCTGTGGAGAAAAGTTCAAGTCAAGCTGTAACATTACACACAACCAAGTTGCTCTAAGGTGTAAGCAGGCTCTATCTGTAATACTGTGCAAGTGCTCTACTCGATACTCCAGGAGCTCTCTTTGCAGCATAGCCAAGGCATACATTCAGACAGAATCTTTGTACGCTCCAACATGATAACACTGCAGTTTTCAGAACTTGACCAACTATTTCTCTGCACGGTATCAACAGAAACAAGCCGTGTAGCTCAGGCACAGGAATCAGACTAGATGCAGCAGTTTTGTAGACATTTCAGAGCTTGCTCATGAGCTTATTATTGCTTCAGTTTGTACTAAGGCTATTTCGAGTACCTCATGCAAGGTAGACAAGCATATAATGAATTTCAGTGATATCAGAGAAAATAAGATGCTGCTATCCTTCTTGCCAAGTGTCAAAACAAATATATTGTTGAAACACTACAGAGAAGCAAAATTTCATCATCTGATCATACATTTAACAATTTCCAAGTTCATTCTATATTATTCTAATATCAAAACAATTTAAGTCTCAAAATTTGAGTTCATCTTTGTAGAAGGAATTTTAACTTCAGGCATTAGACACAAGACACAAAATAATTTTGATTCTGCAAAGAGAGCTTCCACCAATCATAAATCAGATGTAGCAACAGTAGCTCACAAATTGACATTTTCTCTTTATTACATGCAGTTATTATATTGCAAATATTATTTATTGATAAACTGCTTTTGATAGTAATGCTGCTTATTCATCTTGGTATAAGATGCTTAGATTTTGCTTACCTGGAGTAAGAAGGGTGCTTTTCTAGAAAGAGAAAAACAAAAGCTTAGTGAGAAAATAGTTGGAGAATTTCTACAGAAGACTAAGCTAGGTTACAGAGAAACTAGTTTTGAAGTTTTCACATACTTAAAAACAACTAGAAAATGAATCCAAATAAGCATGTACTAACTATATTTTCAGCTTTATTTATTTTTGAGCTGATACCAATTTCTTCAGCTTTCTTGAGCTGATGCTGAAGATTTTGGTAGAAATTTGCACTGTTATAGTTTCAAGTAAGGGACATAAAAGCCTGATACAGATACAAGCTCACGTGGAAATACAGCCTTTGTAAGCTATACACAGAGCTTATTACAGTATTATATTCATGCTTACAGAGGTAATAGATGTCAGTAATCTCTTTGGAGTGATAACCTGCAAGAGAACACAAGAAAATGAATGCATTTGGATTTCAAGCTACTGTAACTATTCATTACATTGCCATGAAAATTATATTTGAAGACTTAGCATTTAAATTAATTTTAAATAGATGCTAGCTCTTGTTATAAGTACTTGTTTATTGAACCCAGACTCAATGCAACAGCTTGGAACGCATAGCATGCACTTGAAAAAGCAATCTTAATAGACATTTTTCCTTCCTGTAATAAGTAAATGCAACTTGTTAACAATAGATGATAACAGCACAAGAAAAGAGCCATTCAGTGTCCAGCCTCTTGTAACCTATATTTTCATGTGAAAGTATCAAAGTTTAAAAAGAAATAGTTTATTAGAAATTAGAATTATATATGTATCTGTTCTTGAACCTGAAAGATGAAAGCAGGTACAAGATGCCATTAGCTCTGTGTTAGCAATAGTGCCACAAAAACATTTAGTATTAAATGAAGGTTCCTGTAAAATACTGCACAAGAAAGCAAAATCCTGGACTTCTTAACTAGCCTTATTAGCGGATAACACGAGAGTATGTTTTCACTATGCAAAATGAAAATAAAGATTTTTTAAAAAAAAAAATCTTCTCTCTGGTGTGGGATTTTAGAACGTATCCCATTACCTTTGAAAGACACTCAAGTTTATTCACATTATTTTTTCCGGACTGACAGATATCTTTAGAAGAAGGAAATAGGACCTAAAACAGGCAATAAATGCACACCCAACTGCTGGAATGGTAAGTGAAAAACACCTCTACAAAGCCACTGGCTTGTTGAGGGCTAACAAAGCCTTAATAACATACAAACACCTGAAATGTGTATGTTATTCATGCTTAAAAGTTTACTTCCAAGAGATTAAAGCAACATTTGCTTTAAAAATATGCAACTATTGCTTTTACTTAATATTAGAAAGAAAAAAGCATTATAGATGATCAATAGAGCTTCAGGACCAACAGAATTGCAGGGTAGGGCATACTGACTTGTGGACTTCATGTAAATTGGAGAATAAGAGCACTAGATCACTACCAGAGGCAACCATATAGTAAATATATATATTTATTTCCATTCTGCATTTTGCAAAACAATTAAGAATCCTTCTTCACTTTGTCCTCCAATATATTTTAGACCCTAAGTGCTGCAAGCCCAAACCACTAATACCTGCAGGACTGCGTAACTCATCTGTTACTGCAGACCTTCTTAGAAAGAACAAGAGGAATAAAAGCAAGCAACAGGTTGTTTAAAACTATTATTCAGTTCTTCCTGAAAACTACAGTCTTCTTAGTGTACCCTCTTGAAACATAACACAATGAATTTTGTGTTCCATTTACCTTAGATTTATTTGCTTTTTTCTTTTTATCGGTGCTTGGAGCTTCTTTTCTCTGCACCTATAAGGCAAAAAGGTATTAAGAAAGTACAACACATCATTCTCCCTTACACATCCTCTTGACATGGACCAATACATACCAAACTGTAGACTTCTATATTTATTTCAAAGTCATTTGATACATCATGCCTAAAAGGGATGAAAGAGAAAAACATTTTAAGTCATAAACTGCAGAAAAGATGTTTCTTTGGTTTTTTTGCTATTGTTACTCATTACTACTTACCACCTCCTCCTCCTCTTGATCCCCCAAATTCATCAAGAATAGCTAAGATCTACTCAAAAGAATCTTAGCCATGGTGCTTACTAATAGCTAGTATTTCTTATTAGTATACTTTAGGTTGTCCCTGGAGGTCTGAACTCCTTTCACTTCTACAGCAGCACTCCCCAGTGCAAACAAGCAGTGTTGCTATTCCAAAGATCTCAGTATGTTACTACTCAAAGTTGCTTTCTAGAACTCCATGAAAGAAAGCATAGAGAAGGTAGGGGGTAGGTAGAATACATCTACCATTTCTCAGGGCATATTCTTCAGTCTGCTGCTGGCAAAAGAATACAGACTGCTTTTGCTGTAATTAGCCCGAAGTGAAAACTACAGTTGTGTTGGACTTGAAAAACTGAGTTAACTTAAAAAAGATGACAACATAATAAGATGATCTCACTCAATTTGTTTGGAGAATAAGGCAAATATGAAGATTTTCAGTGACATTTTTATACATGCTCCACCAAAGACAGAATAAGTTCCAAAATAATATTTTGTACTTATACTTACATAGTAAACGTTGTAGTAAAAGTAAGAGCATCTCCATTCAGGGAACTGGCAGTACTTGCTAAGGGAGTTGCAACCATGTTTTCTGCTCCAGATCTCAGTATTATCACATAGTAGTAGTTTGCTGCTTCTGTAAATACATTTCAGATGAACAACTCTTGAATAAAGAAAATGCATAAGTATCTAAAAGTCCTCCAGTATTGCATTACTATTAAGTGTGCCTGTTTCACCTAATTTAAACACTTTGTTAGTCAAGATTTGCTCACAAACTTAATCTGAATGCAGATTGTTTTTTCCTATGGTATCCATTGGTAGAATCATCTCCACAGAAATCACAAGTTCATTAGCATCTGGAACTCTTCAGGCCAGACCTATACTACCTAGTGCATGAGACAAAGGAGGATGAACTTGCAATCAGACTCAGCAATTAACCTTAGTTCCCTATCCTCTAGGCCTACCAGCTTAGCAATACATCAGCTTTTGCTATTGCCCATCTTTTTTTTTCCCCTCCCATCCTATGAATGAATTGATACCGAGGCAACTTATTTCCCTGACTTCTCATGTAACAGTGAGAAAAAGAAAGACCACCACCACCACAAGAGCACATTTCAATAGCATCAGATATTTGAAGGTTTAGGAGTATCTGCAGCAAGTTGATAAGCAGTAAGACAAAAGTAATGCATAATATTATATCACGTTAAAAACAAAAGTTTAGTTGCTCCGCAGTAGAGGACAAGTCTCAGCCTTCAGAATAACTGGCCGAGAGTCCATTGATTTGTAGCCTTTTTATTTCTGAAGAAAGCATCAAATAAGTGATTTATAGAGTTTGTTCTGGTACAAATGCTGCACTTCCAGAACAGTATTTTCTTTTACAAGTTTTCAGAATCATAGAATCGCTCAGGTTGGAAAAGACCTTAAAGATCACTGAGTCCAGACACAACCTTAACCATACTATCCTAACAGAAATTACTGAAAAAACTAAGTAATTTTGTATTAAACAAGCTTATAAAATGAGCAATTTGTTTACATGGATCTCTCTCATACAACCACAACATGTCAAGAGACTAAATTATGTCAGGTGTTTCCATTTATGTTCTTGGCTATATAAACATTTTATGTCCTTCCTAATATACACTTGAAGATATTAAAACTTAACTTACATTTTGCAATACAGTTAAAAAAGGAAACAAGGCTACATAGGCATTCATTAATAGTAATTTTGGAACAGATACTAAACAAGAACTGTTCAGTAACTTTTGCTCTTACATTTTAGTGAGGTACAAAGGAAGAACCTGTCAGAGTTATCCAGCTAAATGAAATTTTGTAACAATATTTAAAAATAACACTGGTTACCGTGGGCTTGCAGATTCTTGTAAACAATCATTTGAGAAAGAAAATTACTATCTTCCTGTCTGCCTCTAGACCTACAAAGAGATATTTCAAGATACTGTTCTAGAGCAAAAGAAACTACTTGACATTAATGCTTTAATGATTTAAATATGACAGCTTAATAGATGCCTGGTGTTTTTATACATAGAACTACGGAATTGCTGAGGTTGAAAAAGACCTTCAAGATCATCAAGTCCAACCGCAACCTAACCATACTACCTGAACTCTAACAACCCTGACTAACAAACTGTTTTTAGGATTGAGGTGCTGATAGGATTGAGAAAAAAAGAGGAAGTGATGCCATTACCATTTTAGAATGCCACAAAAGTCAGAATTTACATGGTGATTTTTAGTAGTGGACTTGCATCCATGAAAGAAGTCCAAGACAGGAAAAGGTAGACCTGAGACAAAATTTTACTTCCTTCCCAATAAGTTACAGAGAACCATGGAAACAATTATTCTAAAGATTGGCCTAGGAAAGTCATACAAGTTTCTTGAACATCACAGGTTAAAAAAAGAATGCTGCTAAGAGAGACCGGGGAAACAGTAAAAGCCAACAAGGAAAGAACTAAACGACAGATGTATCTAGTGAGGGAAGGAGAACAGCAAAACACCAAAGAAAGGGGTATAACTTCTAGTTGCTACTTTTACCTGGTTTTTGAACTGTACCACAAACAAAGTCTGCTTTTAGAGGTAGACGCATTTCTGAAATAGAAACAGATCCCCTGGATGGAGTAAAGTCAGAAGACGTTGATGCAGCTTTATTTCTTTTAATGAGAGGTCCCTCAATCTTCAGTTTATTTAATTCTTCCAATAAAGCAGTTCTCTTCTCAGCTGTGTAGAGAAATTAATGAATTGTAGTTGCAATTAGGTAAAAATAATACTAAACATGAGCACTGAGATGCTGTGGTTTTTGTTTTGGGTTTGGTTGGTTCTGGTTTGTTTTAGTTTTGTTTTGCTTTTTTCTTTTGCCATAGGTATGTAAAATGCAATATAAGCATTAAGCAACTTCCAGAATAGTAAAAATATCTGGGACAAGAAAGGTACCAAAAAGTTCCCCTGCCTACTGGAGAAGGCAAAACAGAACAGATGTTATCTTCTCCTGTTCTCCAAAAGGAAGAACTGAAAATAGGTAGGTACAAAACAATGCTGTAAATTAATTGCAAGAGCATATCACAAAAATCTTCACAAAGTGTTCATGCTGTAAAGAATCAGACTAAAATCTAAAAACCTACTTGCAAGGAGAAGTAGTCTCTCTGCTTCTGCTTCCTCTTGTGACCCTTTTCCGTGTTCCTCATCAAAACAGCAGTTCAGAGCTTGGCTGGCTTGGTAAATCACTGTCTGCTGCATGTTGATCTCATTATTCAGCTCCTAGAGTAAGTTAGTTAGACAGATAGTAAGCTACAAAACATCTTGCAGTTCAATCTTATTTCTGCAAGAAAATACTCCAGCACAACTTTTTCTACCTCAAAGGGAATTTAAATGTGATACAGAGTGAATGACTACAGTGTTTGTATGCTCCACATCCAGTCTAGCCTTCCCTTTACCACTGGAAGCAGCAACTAACCAGAAATTCATCAGTATAGGTGATGAGGCAGCAACAAAGATCAGAATGCTGCTTGCTGAGATTGTGCTTGCAAATCCTGTCAAATTCAGTAGTGGAAATGAAATAATTCCCCGTATCCTATTCAAAACATCTTGTGTTCACCAGACAGTTGTAGCATGACCCAATCAGAAGGTGTGTTGGTACAACGTGACTTGAGCTATTACATATTGTTAAATGTTAGAAGTGCAAAATCAGTTTATGTAGTATATTAACGTGTGGTCATCTGCAGGGTGAACTAGACATAGGATTAGGAAAGCTATTTTTAAAAGTATATTAGATACCTGCATTTTCTTTTTGATATTGACTTGATCGCATGGACCATTCTTTTTCATTTCCAGTTTGGAAGCAACATCTTCTTTGCGAACAATGACTTGCTTTATTGAAGGACGATCTGTTTCTTTAAATCTTTGAGATCTGTATGCATCAACACTTAAAACAGAAAACTGGGTTAGAAAGCAAAGCGTTTTCCATGCATATCAAGCTTTACTTATTTACACACACATACTTCGTTCATTAACGCTTTCCCAACTTGACATTAAAATAAAAGCACTCTTCAATACATTTTAAGTTTAGACAATATGAAGAACTACATAGAGGCAGACTTTGGTAAAGGCTGACAGTTCCAAAAAGAAAAAACTACTTTTGTAGTTTAAGAAAAAAGAAGAGCCATGCCACATTCTTAGTTTCTGCACTTAAGACAATCTTTGAGTTTATTACCTATATGGGAGGCTGCGATCTTCTGACAAAGAGCTCATACTGTCTCCAGATTCCGCCCTGGGAACTTTAGTCCTCTGGAACTTCTCAGACTTTTGACTTACATCACTGACACTGCTATCCTCACCAACTGACTTACTAGGAGAAACAAAGACCTGGCGAGAAGACGATGTTGGATGATGAGTGACATGAACAGATGTTTGAAATACATTTTCTCTTATATTTACTTGTTTTGAGATTACATATAAGCAGTAAATTCAGAGGGAGCTGAATATTATTTAGCAGACTGTTTACAAATATTTTCTAGAACACAGAATAAGCTATTTGTTTATTTTTAAAAACACCAACAGATCACTGAACTCCAGAATATTTCACCCTTAGTTTTCAAACCTGTACTGTTAAATAATTACTTAAGATTTTCACAGGTAACTGCTTCAATAAACACACATATACAACTACAAGCCCAGTGCAAGTAATATATCTATATATTAAAATTGGATTTTACAGGAACTCGTTTAAGGTAGCATCTGACACGCAATGTTATTTCTAGGGGCAAAAACAAAAACTTCAGAAACTTTATGTTCTTAAGTTTTCATTAGCAAAATGTTATTCAACTTCAATATGTGACCAGGTATCACAATACACTAAAATATCACACTGTTCACAAACAAATGGAACAACTTTCTACAGTGAAGTCATCCTTCACCATCTCCCAAGAGCTCTCACCTCTGGACCAACAGATTCCACTACAGGGGTTAACAGAGACATTGATGAAATATTTAGTGACTCTTCCTGCTCATCATCATCATCACTTTCACCCTCCAGGCTCATGCTCATTTCCTTCTTCAGCTTTTCTATGTCTGGACCATCCTCTTGAAGAATTTCAAAAATTTCATTTATCACTTTTGAGCTATTCATTTCATCACCAGCCTTCATTTCAACTTCACGTTCTTCATCTGAAAGGTGATGTTTTATAAATATTAGTAGCATCTAAATTAAATGTTTGTTTATATAACGAGACTGAAGAGTTGACAGACAAGCCATCCACTTCTGTTTCTCAAGTAATGTTAATTCAAAAGTGCTTATTGTAGTCAGGCACGTGAGAACCCTGAAGTATACTTCCATCCTTATTTCAATATACTTTTATCTCATGTTCTGCATAAGTGATACAGGGAGGTAATACAAAGAGATGTGTGTTAGACAAGTTACAACATTTCAGCTTATACAAGTCTGAAACTGCAGTCCTCCACAGAGCAGCCATTTCTCTGCTTTCCCAGTAAAGTTTAGTATCAGCTTTAATATTTCTTGAAGACTTAACATGGAGAGAAGAATTATAAATAAAAGCTTCCTGATTTGTTTTATATAAACCCAATTACAAAGCAAACACGAGTGTCATCCGATACGCAGTGAATTCATTATTCAGTCTTGAAGGATATTAACACTGCTAGACAAGTGGGAACAGATAGCTAAGCAAATAAAATGCATCTCATCAATACAAACCATCTGGTTTCTCAGCAAGTTGTTCAAGTTTTGACACAGGCATCGCTTCTACAGGGCTCTTCGACTGAGTGACTGTCACAGAACTGGATTTATCAGTCTCTTCACATTTAGGAGCACCTAAGAATTTTATAAGAAAAAGTCAATGAAGATATGCTATACTTCCAATTTTATTTACTTCTTTCTTAGCATTGCGTTTCAGAAGATTGATAATATAGCTGACAATTTACAAAAACAGAGGAATGCAGCTACTTGAGAAAAAAGTGGAATTAAACAGAAAACATAACATACAAGCCCAATCTAAGAGAAGCATACCCTGCATTTATAGAAGCACATTGGAGAGTCTGTTTGCCCGTAGAGTACGTAAGGAGCATTTAACAAAGTTCACTCTGCTTTCATAGAATTGAAGGCTCTTTCAACCCCTGAATATTAGATAGGATGTCACAGGTGTAACAAGTCCTTTCACATCCCCTACTGTAAGAATTAATTCAAGGGAATACTGAAGAGGGAAGTGTTTGTGTAAATTTGGTAAACTCACATACAAATGAAATCTGTAGCTGATTGTTTTCGCACGCTCACTCTAAAGTCAGCATAGATGAAAATACAAAACATTGGTAAACCTACTGAGAAACAAAGGCAATCTGTCTTGCCAATACTTCAAGCAGCAGAGTATTATATGGGAAAATTTAGTCAAATCAGCAACCAAATGAGCGTGTACATAGGTCCAGTTCTAAACAAGAGTACTACTAACTTCTTTGACCATTTATGAATGCTACAGTCCTGCATTAGCCACAAGCAAAAAACAAAATTCTCACCTGAAGATTCTACACTGGAAGATTCTACTGGCCTGTCACCTGCTGATGTGTCTTCTGCTGATCCAGAAGTAGTAGTATCTGAGCGAGGAGAACGTTTTGGACTACCCTGAGATGGACCATCCTGTTCAAACCAAATACAGGACATTCAGGTGGTAACATTCAAAGTGATTAAAAAAGGTTAGCTACCTATCCAATATGAAGGAGGAGGCTATTTATGCAAGAACGTCAGCTGAAGTTCCAAGTTGAAATAGTTGTAAGAAGAGTTTCTAGAAGTTGGAGGGTATTGGCAGGGAGAAAGAATATTCATACATAAGAAATAAGCATACTTATTTCTTAGATAATACTGTAGGAAGTAGCGCAATAACCATCATCAAAAACTAAATCAATCAGCTCAAGTCAGTATCATTTGTAACTGATTCTACAGAAAAAAATCCAATACTTCATTAATAATGATACAAGCTACTTGAGAAGCAGTCTTGTGTAGCCTAGGTATTTACAAACCTTAGATTCCCATCTTTTACCTACATTTGTGCCAAAATACCCATGTTTAGAACACGTTAAAACAATTCACACATCCTTTGATGCAAGCAGCTAACACATTACCATTTTAGCTTCTGGAAGTTTTCTCTTAGAACTTTCACTTCTCTCTGCACTCCACAGATTGCCCCTATCAAATCGGCCACGAATGCATGCAAGTTCTCGTTCACGTTCCTATGCAAATAAAGGGGAATGGGAGAAGAGTTAACAGTTTTAAGACGTCAAGACATTGCAAACTTACCAGGGAGGGAAAGAACAGTAAGAATCTTCACCGAGCTTATAAGCAAGCTATGAATTTAGCAAGCCATACCTGCTTAAGCTGAAGCGCTAAAGTGGCAGTAGAGGAATTTTCATTTTGTTTGAGAAGCTTTTCCTGGATTGTCCTTGTATTTGGGGTGACGATGGGTGTTCTGTACCCCGCAGTATTCGTAGAAGGACTTCGTGCACCGTTCTCTTGACAGCGCTCTCCAAAACGTTCCAGGAAGGGCTTAATTCCCGATCCCCCTACAAGAGCAATTATTTTGCTTTAAAAGAAGCTCTCAAACAGAAAAATTACACTGTAGTTTTAGATCTCACTGATGGTTCTCAATGAAACAATTAAGATACTTCCTTTACAACTTACTGTTACTCTTTATACAAACTTAACCTGAAGCGCAAATCACTGCTGTAACAGAACACTGAAGATATTAAAGCAGTAAATCAAAGCAAACAGATGCCCTCCTCTTTACAAAGAACCACACGTGACCCTGTTCATTATTCCAATTGGTTTGATTTTTAAACATTTCTCACTTGCATCTTTCATCTAAACAAGCATTCTAGTACCTAAGGGAGATACGCTGTTTGGAATCCACCTAATTGATCATTAAAAAGAAAGACACTACGCAGCTACATGGTCTTCAAGACTGGAAGCACTTCTTTTTGGTTTCTAACATTCAGGCTCTTTTTTTTCTTTTTTTAGATAATATCTATTGGATATATACCTTAGCCAACAATTTGAAAGACACTTTCAATAGCCTGCCATCAACTGATGTTAACAGCATACTTTTCAGACAGAACTACTAGATTGGTTTTGCTCTCAGGAGTTACTAAAAATACATTCAGAAAATACTCTTGCAAAATATGGAAGCCATACAACTTGCAATTACACAGACTTCTTCAACGAAGAGGTTAGAGCAAGAAATATGCATTATGCAACATGCTAACTAGCATATAGTTTTCAACATAGGTCACTTCAGTGACAGTTCTTTGAACTCACTAAAGCTGAAGAACAACTTACCTGGTGTTGTGGGTTTATCCTTAGGTTCAGGTTGCACATGTGTTCCTTTGACTGTCTCTTCTTTGGACTGAACCGACTGAGGCAAAGTTGATTGTACCGTCTGTGTGCGTTTCTCAGTCTTCTGAGGGCTGCAGGGATTCTCTGTTAGCTGTTGTGGTACTTTAGATTCCTTACAAGCAGGAACAGTACTGCTTGAGGACTGTGTTATAAAATTATTTGGATCCTTAAGGAGAAAAAAAAAAGAATAATGTTAAGCTGAGACTGTACAATGTTAGTCGTTCTCTCAAGAGGAAAAAAAAGAATGAAAACATTATGCAGAACATACTACAAAACAAATTCCACCAAAACAGAAAGAACTGACAACCACTGTTATGAGCTATTTACAGCATCTTGATTCAATGTTTCAAATTGTTTCAGTATTGGATTCAACATGTTTTCATCAGATACTTCAGGTAGCTTCCCACACTTCCCTAAACCAGATAGGGCACCAGATTAAGTGGCATAAATGGAACAGTAAGCATTTAGTACCAATAATTTCAGCATTCTGATTCCATTGTTATTCAGCATTAATATTCAGAGTTTCAATCAGCTGAGAAATCAGAGTAAAATCCAAAAGGGTTGTCACTTTAAGGAATCTCTTTTCAATAATCAAAAGATAGCAATCAATTACTTCGACTTCAACATTTACAAGACTTATATATACATTCAAGTATAGTCTCAAGGAATTCTAAACTATTTCAGATCTGCTGCTTAAAAAAAGAACATGTGAGTTCTTATCAAACAAAAATAGTAAAGGAACCAAGATTACTCACATCTTTAAATCTTTAAATTTGTTACCAACATTCAGATTATTAAACTGGTATGAATTAATACTTCTCCCCCCAGTACTCAAATCAATCCTTAATCAGCAACTAATCAGACACTCACCGCTATCTTTGAGTTTGCTGGTTTATTAATAGAAGCCTCAACAAGCCTTTGAGAACAGGATGCAGCTTCCTGCTTTACACTGCTACTATTGATTCTAGCAGATGCTCCACTTGTAGTGGACAATTTGGATAAACAAGTAGTGCCAGGCTGTTCTTGTGCATTGTTTTGCTTTGCAGATGGATGACTTAGGTCATCTTCCCAGGAGCCAATTGTAGCTGCAAGGTTAGCTAAACGGCCCCTTCTCCCAATAGGGGTACCACTTGCCAGATCATTAGTTGCCCGCTTAGGTGGAGAAACAGACAGGTCCTTTGACTGGAGGGGAGACAGACGAGCACATTCAGAGGGATCTGGAAAAGAGAACAATCTCCTTAGTAAAAGATATTGAGATACATTTGAATTTTGCTCTATTGTGAGTTTATCAACAGTTAGATGCTCTGAAGGCATTGAGTCTGATCAAGTTAAATTAAAGGCAACACAATCTTGACCAAGTAGTTTACTAGGTTGACATCACTGTTGTGGTGAGCAAGGCTTCACACTAAAAGGCACACACAACACTCTGTTATAGTCAGTCTACTCATTTTAGGCTACATCCAGTGCTGTCTACAAAACTTCTGTACAAAAACATTAGCATTGTCTCACAAAAAAAACCTGCCTGCTAGCATACCCTATCATCAATGCAAACACAGAAAAGCAGCAATACTATTCAGCAAGTAACACATACCCTCACTATCCCAGCAGCGTCGCTGTTCTGCCAGTTTCTGCATACGTGTTTTGACTGAAAGGGTTGCAGGAGTTTCTGACTTGGTGCTTGTTTTTCCTTTCTCAAGAGGTTGAGCCGGTGAAGTCTTGTTACACACAGTTCCATGCAATTCCGAGTTCATCGCAGGAGAACGGTGGCTTGGGGAACTTGAAGGAACAGGCTGTGTGTTCTCTATAGTGGAAGCTTGGGTCTCTACATTATTGGAGCAGCGTCTCTTTGATGGTGATGGTTTAGTACTAGGTTTCACTGTACAAGTCAGAGTAGTCAAACAAATTAGTATTCTAACAGTCTCAAACATCCTCAATACAAATCTGCAGTGCAAAGTTATGATGTACGAATAACCTGCCCTTTTCTATTTCCACCAATTACAAGGCATTAAGTAATTATCTTTAACTAGCTTACTAATCATTAAGAGCATCTGCTCACAGATAAAGGTAAACACTAACTATACCCAGTCTTAGTGGACTGGGTAACTGCACCCACTGCTGTTTACTTTAGGATAAACACCGAGAGGTTTTCACAAGCCATCAAAATAACAAGAAAAAAAAAAGAATGGAACAAAACCATCATTTATGTAGGATACCTTCTTCATTAGGAAGAGATGCCTGGTTACCAGTCTCTAACAAAGGCTCTCTGACCCTCTTGGTCTGCGCTGCAAGTCTCGCTCCCATGGTCGGCCGCTCAGCCATTTTCTTCTGCAGGTTCTCCCTCCTGGCACGGGTTCGTTCAAGTAGTTTCTGAGTAGTTCAATCACATATCACTATACATTTCAGTGTGTTAACAGTAACAGTTCAAAATCAAAATACTTGAAGTTTTTTCTGTAATAAGCTTGTTTCTGGGATTGTGCCTGTTGGTACATGTTGCATCGATTCCAGCCTTATCATCTAGACACAGACTGTCATGGAAATTGGTGAAACAGTGAAGTTTGAGACATCTAATTTTATATCAAAAACCAGATAAAGCAAAAGATTACAAAATTCCAGTCATTGGCTTCCTAAGGAAATCACACTAGAGAGACACGAGCAATGCCAAAAAATGAGGGAAATATATTGAGCCTGAAGTATTCAGAAACATTTGAAGGTAATATTTCTTCCCTGAATCACCACGTGATAAACTTAAGTTAGCAAGTCTGACTAGTGGGTTCTTGACCTGTTGCTGAAGAACATATTTAAGATATCCAGTTGTCACTGATCTCTTATTAAAAAAAGTTAGTGATCCCAATGTGTCCATAAGAAAAATAACTCAACAAATTAAATCTGTGCTGTTAAAGTAGAAAAAAAGGAGCTACTGCAGCATCAAAACCAAAAGCAAACTTCTGTTCTGCAAGATTAAGTTGTGAGGAACTGATGTCTTAATTGTCCAAATACAGAGATAATTTATCACTATCTTGTACAGGGAAAAAAAAAAAAAACACGTGAAGAGCTGCCAATTACCTTATTTTATTAAGTTCTTACATTCACTAAATTTGGGGAATTTGAATAGTGTAATCACACTGCACATGAAATAGCTGTTTCAGTGAATGTTTTACACAACTAGTGTGAGATTCTTTATAACATCCAAGTTTGAAATAACATTTTTTAATGCTGCATTTGTAAATCAAGACCACAGTTTATCCACATGTAAAGAACGCCTAATTCTTACTTTGATCAATATTTTAAGGCACTTTGAAACAAAAAAAATTGTGCTATTGAACTAATGACCTCTAAAGGGAGGCATATAAACTGCACTTGTTTGGTAGCACATAAATTATTGTGAGAACTGTGCCAGCCATTATCTGTCCTGTCACATAGCAATTAAATACACATTGCACATTTTTAACTGTCTAAGGCTGAAGTCTCAAACAATGTTTCATTGTAGGGCAACACAGGACAAATGGAATGTCAGTCCCAACGATTCTCTGTCAAAGTATAAATGCCGCTTCTCTAACTTCCATGGAAGAGAAGTTAGAGGGAAAAATATGTTTAAAAAGGACACATGAAGTGCCTGGAATGCGTTCTCTATGAGTTGCATCCCAGTTGTTTCCACGGGCCAGTTTCCTTATTCCAATCCCCAAAAGGCAGAGCTATAAAGCATTCAAATAGTACACACATAAGTTAATACACACATTTTAAGTTGATCTGTGTAACTGTTCTTTTGCAAATTCAAGTGCACTGTCTAAGACAGTATTCCTACAGTTCTATTCAAATGCAGTCACATTCCTTTCTGTTTTGTTAGTCCAGTAAGACGGAGCTTCAGTTGTTACAAATAGGATGTCATTTCACAGGAATGCACGCCTCTGTTGTTGAGCTCCAACTCCTACTGGCTTTTTCCATGCAACCGCCATAATTCAAACTGCTGTTACACACGATGAGTCAGCCAGCTACCAGAACTTGAGGCTTACTTTTAAGCTCATCATAGGTGTTCATTACTAATAGCACATTCTCCACACATTCCAGTAACAGCCAACATTTCAGAGTAGGACAGGCTTATTTCATTTTATCTAAGAATTTGAAAACAATTAAGTTGTACTTAAAGGATCATGGCTTGTGTGCAAGAGCACATTATCAAATCAGAAAACACCTTCCTGCTTTAAATGTTGATGGACAGTCCTGCTTTAAAAGCAGCACGTGTCAAGTTACGTACAGAAGGTGTACTTAGCAACCTTAGAGAAGACACACAAGCTCATGAGTGATTACAAGAACTTGTTGCTGCTACCCTGCTTTAGAAGCAGAATACTGCAGAAGGAGCAAGTTTCTGTGACACTGAAAGAACAACTAACTTCAAATTTGATATATGCAAACCTTTCTCTGAGCGACTGTCTCACTTATTTCTCTTTGGTCATCTGTCACACTGGGAAACAATACTGTGCTCTACAGTAAGTACTTCACAATATAAATAGCCTAGGCTATTCCTAATGTTCTGTACCACCAAACACAGGCTTTTATGCAAGAAAGTGAATTACACAATTAACTTCTAACTAAGAGCCACAAGCATGCTCACTGGGATCCTAAAATAAGACTCCACCATCTCCTCAGTGGATCATATTAACAATTCAGCTGACACCCAACAGGTTATTAGATTTTGCTTCTAAAATTAATTTAAAAAAACATTATTTTAGAACTGTTTCATTTGAAAGCATTGAAAGCACTGAATCTTGCAGCAGCATCTATTTAAATTAATTGAGACGAAGAATTTTTATTCTAAAGGCAAGTGATCAGCAAACAGCTTTGGCCAGGTAACGCTTGAATTAATGCTGCTTTACCTAAGCAACATTATAATGCCTCACCAGTTCCCTGCAAACAGAACAGTTATTTGGAAATATTACCTGAAAATAGCTAAACTAATAAAACTGATTCTTAAAAGAAATAAAAGTTAGGACATAAATACTTCACAGCAGGTGATAATAAAGCTTCCCTATAAAAAGTCCTTTTTGAGAAAAGTTAAACTAAAATTCTGATGCACTAACAGTGGTCAGATTCTTATACAGCAGGGGAACATCCTCCACAGCATAAGCATTCCTGGCAAAGCAATACCTCTCAGGCACTCTGCAACACCAGCAAATACTTGAATGAAGTTTACACTAAGGAGTGGCCCCTGAGTTGGTCACAGCATTTCAAAGTCAGTTAACTACACAAAGGGTGTGTTGAGATTGGAATATTTCCCAGCATGCAAAACCATTTTAAACTTGATCCAGTATTCTGGACTTGTGGTTTATTTAAGACTAGTCTCATCATGTCACCCACTACCAATTAAGGAAGGAGTTTTTAGATGTTTACACTTAGCAAGCCTTACATGGGAGTAGCATTAATCTGCCTTGACACATGCAGATCAGTATCTCACGTGTGATTTCTTAAAGTTGGACCTTGCAATCCTCCCCTGCTGCAGGCACCTGATTTACTTACAGGATGCCTATTTGAAATATAGATTATTCTTTCCTCCTTGATAAAGCAATGTACTTGTTAAAGATTTTTATTTCTTTTTATGATTAGGTTTGTGGGTGTGGGTTTTTTTAAAAATTAATTAATTCAGGCTTTGGTTAAACAGGGCATGCATTAAAAAGAGCATGGCCAGCAGGCCAAAGGAGGTGATCCTCTGTCTACTCTGCCTTGAAGAGGCCACATCTGGAATACTGTGTCCAGTTCTGGGCTGCCCAGCTCAAAAAAGACGGAAATCTCCTTGAAAGAGTCCAGCAGAGAGCAAAAGAGATTATAAAAGGCATGGAGCCACCTCGCTTATGAGAAAAGGAAGAGAGACCTGAGCCTGTTCAGCTGAGAGAAGACTGAGAGGGGATCTAATCAGTGTTCATAAACATCTGAAGTACAAGAGGGAATTAGATGAAGCCAGACACTTCCCAGTGATGCACAGCGACAGGACAAGATGCAATGGCCAAGAAACGGGACACAGGAAGTTTTACACAAATATGCAGAACTTCTTTACAGTGTGTGTGACAGAGCACAGAAACAGGCTGCCCTGACAGGCCGTGGAGTCTCCTTCTTCAGAGATATTCAAGACCCATCTGGACACCTACCTGCGTGACCTGCTGTAAGAACCTGCTTTAGCAGGTTGAGGTTGGACTCCATGATCACCAGAGGCCCCTTCCGACCTCTGCCTTTGTAAATCTGTGCATTCAGAAGCATTCACTTTTATTGAGGTATTTCTGAAAGCCACCACAAGGCAGCCCCGCGGCTTTATTCCTATCTCACATAAAAGCAGAGCACAGAGCAGCATCCTTAAGAAGCCTTCAACCCAGCCAATTCCATTTGTGTTTGCCCCATTAAAAAAAAAAAGAAAAAACCACACATGGAAAAGGGCCTCCCTTCCACCAGCTCCTGCGTGAATAACCCCTCTGTACTCCATAGCAATAAGGCGGAACGGAACAGAGGGCCGCTCGCAGCCTGAGAGAAGCCGTAAAGCAGCCCGGCTCCCCGCGGACCCTCCCCGACTTTCGCCCCCGGCCCTAAGGACTAAAACTCTCCCCACCTCAGTGAACGGATCCATCGCTGCTACTCCGGCCGCTCCCTCACGTCGCCCCGGGAATCGCAAAATCCTCCACCCCAACCGCTCCGGGGATTTGAATTTCAGCGCCGCCTCGAGTGCGCATGCGCAGGGACTGAGTCACTCATTGGCTCGCCAACGCGGGGCGGGCGGGAGGGAGGCGGAGATTGACAGAAGCGCTATCCAATCCGACAGCGCTCTGCCCTGCTTTCCCGCCCCCTGGCAGTTCTTCGTTTGTCCGCCTCAGAAGGCGTGAGTGCGCGGATGAGGAAAATTCATCTAATTTCCAGCCTGATATACTTGCACTCCTTTATACCCATTTGCCCGTTCTTTAGATAACACATAAAATATATGTTATAAATATCTAAAGTGCAAGAGGCAATTAGATGAAGCCATATATGTTAAAATATATGTTATAATGTATATAACGTCCTTTATACCCATTTTATACCCATTCACTAGCAAGCATGAATGCTCTTCTCCCTTAGCTTTTTGCTTCCGGCCTCTGGGATTGCATACAGGCAGCAGTCATTTCCTCTTCCAGCCCAGGCCTGCCTGAATCACACAGCCTCTTAACTGTTACTCATTATAAAACCTCTCCAGTGCCTTATTTGCAAACGGCGCGGCATCTACATGCAGCAGAATTCAAAAATCCAGTATTGAGGAGTCAGAAGAAATCTTCACAATGGGACGCTGCTGCCAGCAGCAGCCCTCACATGGCTCTCAGATGCGTATGGGTTGGAGCAGCCTGAGCTCTGGGCTCAGAACTGGGCTCAGAACGTGCTGGTGTGCTGGGCTGCATGCTGGGACCTACCAGATGAAACCCATCGTGAGACTCATATGTAGTCTCTGAGCCTGCCTTTATAGTGAAAAGAAAGGGCAGGCTTTGTTTCCTTCAAGATAAACTAGGTGACGCAATCACCGGGAAACTATAGAAACATTCCTTTAATGGAGGAGTAGAAAATCAATGCTGGCAACCACCAGAGAAAAAATAGGCAATCTGGAGTTAGTTCAGTGCTGTGAACTGAAAATTAAAGGAGAGAATTACCACTCAGTCATTTCTCTCTCCTGCCATCCAAAAAGAGGAAAAGTCATGCACACTTTTAGCTCTTTCTTTAATAAAACAGAGTTATTGCAATTTAAACATGAATTTGTGCTTGATGTGGTGATCTGTAAGATGCATATATAGCAGTTCCTGTTGCCTTTGGTCATTTCCAAACGTGTCTCCATCCACTGCTGTCATTGCTCTAATGGCAGGGCAATGCCATTAGAGCTGATGCTCTGCCTCAGGGCCTTATCCAGGCAGTCAAAATAGCGTGAGCTGTGCTATCAGCATCCAGAACAATCTCATCTGCTATGTAATATTAAAAAATGAAGGAAACAGACATGTTTTATTCTGTAAAAGAAGTTTCCCATAAAAATTATTTCTATAAAGTTTATTCTGTAAAACGAAATTAAGATGCTTAGGAGTATATAATTGCTTACAAGGTCAGTGCAACGTGCAAGTGATGAATTTCCTTTCCTTTTGGTCTCCTCAGAGCTAATGATTACTGCATCATTTTGATCCAGACTCAGTGAGGCCCTGCTAGAAATAAATAAAAGCAGTAATTTTCTCAGCTTCTCAGGGATTATGTCTGTCTTCCAGAAAAGCAACGGACAGTAAGTGTAATATTCCTATGCCATTCTAAAGAGCCCAGAGAGGTTGGTCTTTTTCAGGACTGGTGCTGCAGATTGGCTGCAAGGTTCATAGACTGCAGAGTGGTGGAGGGCAAAGCAATGAAACTTTCATTTGGGGTTATTTTTTTGTCCTAAGAATTCAATAGAGCCATTGGCAAGTTGCAATGAGGAAAAAAATAAAATCAAATCAACTGATGTTTTGCAATCTGAAAGCATTACGGAGAGAGTGGTGAGGTACTGGAACAGGCTGCCCAGGGAGGTTGTGGATGCCCCGTCCCTGGAGGTGTTCAAAGCCAGATTGGATGGGGCCCTGGGCAGTCTGGTCTAGCATTAGGTGGAATGGTGGTGGCCCTGCATGTGGCAGGGGGGTTGGAGATTCATGATCCTTGAGGTCCCTTCCAACCCTGGCAATTCTGTGATTCTGTGAAATAGAGGGAGAAAAAGAAAAGAATGTCATGTTGAAATCAGCAGGACAATGGGCCAGCTCTGCCTACTAAGCAGATTTACATTTTATGCCAGCTTTCAGCATTTGAAAACCATGAATCACACCTTTCACTGTCTCCTCACCCACATTATATGGTTTAAGATTTCTTCTTGCTGGGGTTAAGCTAATGAAGAATAATCCCTTCTGTAACAATAAATAACACAGCACAGAGTGCTTCTGGAATGTTTTTTGCTGGCTTGCAGTTTTCATGGGAATTGGGGGCATGGACGCAGAAGCCTGTTATTTCTTTCTTAATGGGACAGTAAAACATTTTTATTTTCCCAATTATTCTTTCATATTTTTTGAAGCATACTGATTGTTTTCAGGTTTTTTTCTTTCAGAGGGTTATACACCTTTTTACTAAAATTTTTTGCATACTTTTTAACTAACAAGGAGAATGGTAGCCAAAGATTTTGTAGGTTTGGCTTCTTTGCAATGCAAAAAAAATCACAAATGTAAGATGCTTTTTGCTTCTCTAGTGACTTCCACAAGCAGAATTGCTTCCACAAGAGGGAGTTTCTTTTCAGAGCATCCTCAGGCTTGCTCTCAAATGCTCAGTGACTTGGAGAATCAAACTCTACAATCCACATAAGGTTATAAAGCAGGTATGTTTATTACAGCACTGGGTAGCACAGGGGATATTTCCACCATAATTGCTTCAAAGATCACATGATTCAGAGTCCACTATATTTCCACAGATAGTGCATATTCATCAATTACACGTGAGACAATTAACATATATCTTAGGAAATGATTTATGAGGTCTTCAATCTTCTATTCCATGGTCTTTTTTACCATCTAGCAACCTTCTAGCATCATGACAGTCCAACTGATGGTTTTCTACTTCATCCAATGATCTTCTTGCTTTCTCTACATGAACTTTCTTCATGGACACATGCTCAGGAGAATTCCAAAATCATAACATCTGCTCACTCAGCCATTATTTCTGGACATCTGCTTGTCATTGGATAGAGATAAGTTTGGCAGCCTGTCTTTTAATGATACATGCTGGGGTGCAGAAGATAAGGAGGATAGAGGGGAGTATCTTGATGCCTGTCTGTTGCATCCCAGCCTAATCCCAGAGTGAGACAATTTGGCCTTGTGTGGAGGCCCTGGCTTTCCTTATTGTGTTTCTTTTGCAGAGGGTCTCTTATCAAAACAGAATAGCCTACAGCATGTTTTCTAGTCTATAGTACTACATCCATACCATTTGCAACATCTAAAAGCTACTGCAGTTTTGCAAGCAGCTATTTCTAAAAACAAGTTACAAAATACTTTGTGCTCTACTTCTTCAAATCATCGGTCTCATCCTTGGCTTTTTGGCCCAGGTTTTGCTGCAGGCTCTGTTGGGAGGCAGGCATGTCTCCTGCTGTGCTGCTGGTACCTTAGCTGAAGGTGCTCCTCGGGCCATTGCGCACTTGTAGCTGCTGCTTGGTCAGAAGCTCTGGCCCATCCCTAGCCCATGTGCTTTTCAGGAGGCTGAGAGTGCAGGCTGAGGAAGCTGGGCTGATTCCTGGAAGCTGTCAGAGCTCAGCGTCTTGCTGCTCCAGCTTCCATCCAACGTGCTGCTACCAAGGCCTGGCTTGACTTGTCCTGCTTTCTGTGGGCTCTGCCTGCAGGAGACACTTCCAAGCTGTGTTACTAAGCACAAAGATGCCCTGGGCTGTTAGCATGGCTGTCTCCCCTTGTCTTCTCTCTGCCACCACATAGGCTGGCTTGAGCCATGACTCTTTTGCTTCACTGCTGTTATCCTAAGCAGCTCTAATCTGACTGGCCAGAGAAGTGCCATCCCTGCTTTGCTTATGGAGAATTGAAGGTTAGCCTTGGTCTGAGGGCTTCTCCTGTTGGGCATCATTCAGCATTGGCAAGACTAACGCCACTGATAACAAGGCACCAGCAAATACAGCTGGAAAATACTCCATTCCTCTTTGATGTAGCTTTCTACTTGATGATACCGAGGATTTCTGTAAACTCTTGTGCTGCTGAGGGTTTTTTCTCCCCTTCGAGGAAGGTATGGGTTCTTTTATGAAACAGCCCAGAAACAGGACAGCAGATGTAGTTCTGAAGAAGGTGGATGAGCAGTACCAGAAATATAAGTTTTTGGAACTTCATCTTGCTCAGAAGAAACAAAGGTAAGTTATGTTTCTGCAGGAAAATGAGAAATGTTTGGCACAATTCTAATTTTTTTTAATACAGTCGAGTTGATTTCAATATGACAAGAAGAACAAAGTTGGCTTTAAGAGAGCTAATATTGGCAGTACTTTTAGGATAAAGAAACAGCTTTCCTTTTCTTCTTCCTGAGAATCACGTGCAACAAGAAATGGCATTACTGCTGATTTGGTAGGGAGCCTCTAAGGCCAAAAGTCCTGCACTTGTTTTGTTTTGAATCTGTGGTTTTTATCTCTGTTTTTGCAGAGGTTTCCCTCTGGCCTATCGGGACCAGAAATACCAGAAATTGGTCTTACATGGGTTGACTTTTTTTTTTATCTTTCCTTTCTATCTAATTCCTCTGAGAAAAAGAAAAGAAAAAAAAAAAAAAAAAGAGATATTCTGTGCTGTAGTAGCATGTCCACACTAGAGGGTGTTACTGAGACAGGATTTTAGGATGAGTTTTGCTTTGAAAGTCTGTTTATCTATGTTTGGAAAAGGAAAAAAAAAAACCCATATCTGAAATAAATAGCAGCAGATGCAACGGGGATAAATTCCACTGAAATGTAAAGAAACATTACAAAAATGTAATGGTGATAATATTTTCCCTCACAAGGCTACTCACAAGGGACACTGATAATATAGTCATCTCTGCTTCAGTAGGAACTACAAATATAGTTACTCTGAGGATGTGTTAGAGAGGATTAAACGTACCAGATATTTTAGACTGCTTGCACTTCAATTCTATTTTGACAGAGAAGACATTAACTGAAGGAATATGAAAATGAGTTCATAGCTCCTTTTGTGTGAGAGGGACAGGGAAAGCCTTTGGTGGTTCCAAATCCCAGTATCTGTTGGAGACATGTTACTCATATGCCCATGCTTTCTTTTGTATCTCCCCATCACTGACCCCTGGGCTTGAAGTCCTTGCCCTGTCACCTCCCATCTCAGCGTGGTGGATGTGCTCTGCTCACTGTGTCTGGGTGCCATGGGACTGCTCCATTCCTATCACAGTGACTCTTGGCACCTGACTCGCACCATGATAAGGGGGTTACCCAGAGGATTTCCGAAACCAGAGATGAAATGGAGAATAAAGTCTGAAGGCAACTTTGTCATGCCTTCTGCATCTCCCAAGCCTGAACAGTAAATACTTCCATCAGCTGAATGGACAGGCACCACTTTAAAGGGATTCTTCACAATGGAGCAAATAACTCAAAACTGATTACAGTGGGAATTAAAAAGAAGCAACATTACCATAAATCATGGAGGAACCTGCACAGTAAAGCCTGGGAGCAGTCCCAGGCATGTACCTGGTATCTGGAAAAAGAAAGCGGGCTTACACCCTGGGATCTGCCCTCAGTGAGCCCAGTACTCTTCCTTGCAAACAAGACTCCCAGAAGACCACCTTCTCCAGGACAGGCAAAGACCCTCCTTCTCTATTGATCTGTCCTAGATGAGAGGGTTTAGAGGTCCTATGAAGTGAAATGTTTTGATGAAAAAGCAACTCACTGCTCTTTCCCCAGCTGCTCACCACTGAAGTTAAGTGCAGAGGGTCTCCTGTTGCCCACAGAATGGGCTCCAGCTCCAGGAGACTGCTGACCTCCATTCAGCCAAGCACGATAGAGCCTCATCTATTGCTGCACAAATTATGCCTTGCAAAAATGCTGCCCATATTCAGGCTACTTTTATGTTATTGAGCTTCCTTGGCATAAAGCAGGAACAAATTCAGTGGATAAATCAACATGAATAATGTAGTTGTATCAAGCTGTGTTCTGCAAGGTGTCTTAAAATAGCAGTCCCATTGAACAGGAGCATTTGTATGTGTAACAGCTCCCCACAAGCACATGTTGCTGTTGCCACGTACTAGAAATGAAAGATGCAGCTGCAGTCAGCTGGCAACGTCAGATGTTTCAGTAGGAGTTTCTAGAAAGAGTACAAGTGGGAGGGTGATCAGCTGGTGAAGTTGCATGGTCAGAAGATGTGCAGCCAGTGAAGTCATTAGTTTTGGAGAGGGGAGGCTGACCTTGCCCTTATTTGGCACAGCTCAAAACTGCCAAATTACACTCAGTTCTTTAAGGACTCAACTTTCCCAGTTCCTCTGTGATTCTTTTTTGTTAGCACAGAGAGATTGAAGAAGAATGTGTGCATGAATGTGACATGTGAGAGTGGAACAAAATAAAACAAATGTTAGTGTGTGTATATATATTTAATATATATACAAGAAATGCACATATATACATTTATATGTTACATATACTTGAGTTTTTCAGTATTATCTTCTCATGGGCTCAGAGAGGCATGAAATGCTCTTCTAGATTCTACAAGCATGCTACAGAGATAACTGATGCTTTTATTCCTATAAGGAATGCAAGGTAGTACTGTTGGCCAGCTAAATATGCTGGAATTATCTCTGAAATAAATGCTGTGTTGAAGTTGAGCTTTAAAAAACGCACAAGCCAGCTTGAATTCTGTCTCCTAACAATGAACAAATCCAGATAGAGATTCAGTTCATATTGTGGAACTGGGTTATTTAAGATTATTATTTAAGCCACAGCTTGGCTCTTGTCAGTACCTCACTGTTTATCCCCATGTACCTTTGCCTTGCAGCAGTGCAATTCATGCCAGCTGCACGTCAGAATGATTAGAGGTACATTAAATGTATTATATATATAGCATTTTTTTTTCCTATTGAGATACTTAATAGTATTTTTGTTGACTGAGCTTTCCATGTGATGCTGGTAATCACCAAACGTGACAAAGCTTGCTCAGAGCCAAAGAAGAATACAAGGGCAGCTGGCCTTTTAGCTTCCCTCCTCTGTGCCTTCTGCTGCTGCTTTTGTCATCCTCCTGCTAGAGCCAGGAGCTAGCATGACCTAATGAAACCTTCAAGCCATCCAGCAAAGCAAAAAGGTTGGCAAAGTAAAACTAAAAAGAAAAAAGCTGGAGGAGCAGATTCAGGGGTGAGTGACTGCCCAAGCACTCGGTGAAAAATGGCTCACCAGCATCAGGGAGAAGGGGACAGGACATGGAAAACATGGAGGGGACAAGCCCTGGAGGGAGCAAAGAGAGGGACATCAGCACGTAACTCATATTACAACCTGGAGTTAATGCTTCCATTGCTGTGGCTTCCAAGCATAAGATAAGAATGGAGAGTCTAAGCAGCAAAATGAACTGCTGTTATGACAGTGATATCCTGCCTTCATACTGCAGCAGCCATCCACTGTTTCTTTATCTGCCATGCGGATTATTTCCACTGCTTGAACCAATTCACTAATGGATTTTTTTTTTCCTGTAATTCTCATATGTCGCAAGCAACCTGCAACTGATTAGTGACAGCTTTATCTAGCTATATTTAAAACTGTTCAGCTCCTGCAGTCTGAGAGTTGGCAACAAGCCTGCGGGTTCCTTTTTCTAGCTCCTTTTCTAGCTGTGCTAGCAAAGAGGTTCTTTTAGGTGAAACTTGGGCACGTTGACAGAGCATGCATCATCTCTCTTCCTGAAGGAATTCAAGCTGAAGAGGATGCTGGGTGTGACAGCGAGGTATGGCTGCACATCAGTGACAGAGAAAAATGGAACCTCAATGTCCTCATAGCTGGTTTTGGTGCTTCAGTCTTGTCATAGATTGCTTGAGGGGACCCTGTCCTCACGTGTGAGGTAGGACTGAGTAGAATATGCGCCTTCATGTCTGATTCTTAATTTTCTTTGAAGAAAGCCAGAAGTAACAGATGAGCAGTCTGTGTGGATTGCTGTGTGTGTGCACGTAAAAAGCGCCGAGAATCTCAGTCAGGCAGGGCAAAAAGAAAGAGGGGATCCTGGATGGGACAGAAATAGTGCTTTTCAGCAGAATCAGCGCACTGTGGGCTTCCCAGCCCTGCTACGAGACGATACAACCAGCTCTCCTGCCTCACGGGTTGACGCCATGGGGAGCAGCTACAAGTATACTGTGTCTGGGTGGTGACCCATCGTACTACAACTCCCAGCGTGCACCTCGGCCCTCCCGCGCGGGGCACGCGGGGCTGTAGCGGCGCGCTGCACGCTGGGACTTGTAGTCGGTAGCTGAGGGCGGGCGCTCCGCTGGGGCGGCTGCTGCCGGCCGGCCAAGGAGCGGCCGGGAGGGCCTCGGGACGGCGGAGCGCCATGCTGGAATCCATCCGTGTCACCGGTGAGTACCGCTGCCGGGGGTGCTGCCCTGGGGCTGGGGCTGAGGCGACGCGGCGCCGCTTTCCCCGCTCCCGCTCTGGGCAGTCGGCGCCGCGTGCGGGAAACACGCAGGGTGGGTGATGTGAGGAGATGTATTTTTTCCCGCAGCTCTTTTCCTCGGTTAAATTCGAGAACCCGTTACAGCCATCACACCTACAGCCACGGGTCTGCTTCGTTCGGGTGCCTGCTTGTTGCAGAATATTCTTTCGACAGCCCTCCTCAGCACTACATCGTTAGATCTAATTAACTTCATACGGCTTTTTAATCCGTTCACGTTACCGGAATAGCTAAAATAAAGGTTTCTGTAACGTTACTGTACATTTGCAGGGGGTACCGAAGGAGGAGTGTTACTTGTTACAATCTTATATTCTCATCTTTTGGACTTCACTGTTTACTTACAGACAAATCACAAATTATTTGCATTTTTATAAACCTGAAAATCCAAGCCAAGGCATTGGAAGCGTTTCCTCGTTTTGGACCACTAAACTCAAATATATTCTAAAATGGTAGCGCAGAAGTGAAAAACAAAAGCAGTGACTCGGTTGGTTACATTCCTAGGATAAGGGAACCTCTCCAATAACATCTTTGCTAAGCTCTGTAAGAAGCACACTTTGAGTTTGGACAGGATTTGTCCATTATGCATATATAACCCAAGTGACAGCTGCTCAAAAACCACAGGAGCCCACTGTGCTTCATAGAGCTCATCCACCTGAGCAGAGATTGATCCATGCCACAAATACCTGTCATCATTCACCTCGTGCCACCTATGGAACAAGTGTATTAGAAGCTTGTTGGATAGTAGAGACTTAGTAGCCTAAGTAAAGAAGATTTTTTTCTGCAATATTGTCCAAAATCTGGGGAAAAAGAAATCTTTCATGGAGCTCTTACTACACATATCAACACAGTAAAGTATTAGCTCACTACTTCAAAAGGAAACCATCAGTATAACCTAGTTTCTGAATGTTATAAAATATAACATTTCTTCTAACAGCCTTGACAAGATTAGGCAGAATCTGCAATGCCACAAGATCCAAAGATAGTGAGTGTTAAGAAGCGTGCAACTTAAGCATGTAAAGTATTTCCTTAGTGCAAAATTATTATGAAATGTGTGGTCCCACACACGTGCTGTTGGCAGATTTGGGGTGCATCCCTTCTCCAGTACACCACTGTGATGCTGGAATAGCTGCACATTCAGGAATGAAGGTATGCAGGAGTAAAATTCCCCATAGTGACAACAAAATCATGGCTGCTGTATATTGTGTGGTTTGTATATTTGTGTGCCTGCAGTACAGACTAAGCCCAATATTGAAAGCTCCAGCAGGTATCTTGAAAACGATGGGTTTTGAGATGGGGCAGGACCTGGTTCTGCTCTTGTGGGCAGGGAGGAAAAAACACATCCTTGTCCCAGACAGAGTGGAACTGGCTCTGGTAACCTCAGAGGGCAGCAAAAAAAAATCAAACTCAGCTTATCAAAAAAGGTGCAGAGCAGTGTTCTGACTTAACAAAGATGATGTTTCTACTGAGGAGGAGGATTATCCATCTTTTGGTACCCTATCAATGCCAAAATGGGGACAGGCAGCTCATCTGTGCCTTCCTTCTTCTTTCTACAACCTCCCAAATCCAGATGCTTGTTGAGTTTAGTAATTCAACAGTATGTCTGGGATTCATGTTTTTGCAGCTCCTGTAGAGAGGAACAAGATATAAATAGATGAAAGTAAACATGCTGAAAAGGTCTTTCCAGGAGAGATTGTGCTGATTTTGTTATTTGTTTCTCACAGTTGATGGATTTGGGGCTTTATGACTTCGGAGCCTGCAAGCTAGATCAATGGAGACAATCTATGTGCAAACATTAGGTATTTTTAGTGAGTTCTCAAAGGTAGCTGGGAAGTTTGGGCACATGCTATTTGTTTTCTGCTGCGTAGATGGAAATATAAAAAAGACATGAGAATTTATACACGTCAGAACAGCTTTATATGATTTATATGAAATTTATTTTAAATTCACATACACATTATAGAAATTTCTGTAAGATGTATATAAAACTTAAAGTATTTAAAACTTATATCAACTTTATGTGTGTTTTAGATATAAATTAGATGCTTATAGAACTTGTATGTAAATATACATTAGATAAAATTTACATCAAATTTATATATTTATTTAGAATTTATATAAAGTTTGTATACAATCTCTATAAGATGCAAATGAAGTTTATGTAGAATAAAAGTTTATATAAGATTATAGAATATAGTATATAAAATTTATATAAAATTAATATAAGATGTATATAGTATGTATATAAGAAGTAAAGAAAATGCATATACATCACAGAATCACAAAGGTGGGAAAAAGGCCTCCAAGATCATCCAGTCCAACTGTCCACCTACCCACTAAGCCATGTCCCTTAGTACTACATCTAAACATTTCTTGTACACCTCCAGGGATGCTGACTGTACCATCTCCCTGGCCAGTCCATTCCAGCACTTGATCATTCTTTCAGTGAATAGTTTTTCCTAATATCCAACCTGAATCTCCTCTGGTGCAACTTATGGCTATTCCCCCTCATCCTGTCACTAGTTATGTCAGAGAAGAGGCTGACCCTCACCTCATCACAGCCTCCCTTCAGGGAGTTGTAGAGTGCTATAAGGTCTCCCCTGAGCCTCCTCTTCTCCAGATGAACCATCCCAGCTCCCTCAGCTGCTCCTCATAAGACTTGTGCTCCAGACTCCTCACAGTTTCACTGCCCTTCTCTGGACATTTTCCAGGGCCTCAGTGTCTCATAGTGAGGGGCCTAAAACTCAACACAGTTCTTAAGGTACAGCCTCATCAGGCCTGAGTACAGAGGCATGATGGCTTCCCTGCTTCTGCTGGCAACACTGTTTCTAATACAAGCCAGGATACTGTTAGCCTTCCTGATCACCTGGGAACACTGCTGGCTCATGTTCAGATGAGTGTTGACCAACACGTCCAGGTCAGTTTACAGTCTTCCAGCCACTCTGCCCTAAGCCTGTAGCACTGCCTGGGGTTGTCGTGGCCAAAGTATGGGACTCAGCACTTGGTCTTGTTGAACATCATCCCATTGGCCTCAGCCCAGCAATCCAGCCTGTACAGATCCCTCTGTAGGGCCTTCCTACCCCCAGGAAGATCAACACTTCCTGCCAACTTGATGTCATCTGCAATCTTACTGAGGGTGTACTTAATGCCCACATCCAGGTTGTTAATAAAGATACTGAATAGGACAGGCTCCATTACTGACCTTTAGGGGACACCACTCATGACTAATCACCAGCTGGATTTAACTCCATTCACCAGCACTTTCTGGGCCCAGCCATTCAGCCAGTTTTTTACCGAGGAAAGAGTGTACTTGTCCAAGCCACAGATTACTGGCTACCCCAGGAGAATATTGTGGGACAGTGTCAAAAGCTTTGCTGAAGTCCAGATAAACTACATCAAGAGCCCTTCCCTCATCCACCAGGTGGGTCACTTGATCATAGAAGATGAACTTAGCCAAGCAGGACCTGCCTTTCATGAACCTGTGCTGGCTGGGTCTGACCCAGGTTGTTCCACACATGCTGTGTGATCTCACTCAAGATGATCTGTTCCATAACCTTCCCTGGCACCAAGGTCAGGTTGACAGGCCTGTAGTTCCCTAGATTCTCCTTACAACTTTCCTTGTAGATGGGAGTCACACTGACAAATCTTCAGTCCTCTAGGACCTCTCCATTGACCAGGAACACCAATAGACAGTGGAAGGCAACCTAGTAATCACTCTGCCAGCACCCTCAGGTGGATCCCATCCAGCCCTACAGGCTTATGACAGACCAGGTGGAGTTGCAGGTCTCTGGCTGTTTCCACCTGAATCATGGAGGGTTAATTCTGCTCCCCAATCCAGACTTCCAGGGCAGGAGGTGGAATACCCCCAGAATAATTGATCTGACTTTTAAAAACAGGTGTAAAGAAGGCATTGAGAACCTCAGCCTTTTCCTTATCCTCAGTAGTCTCATTCCCCACCACATCCAGTAGAGGATAGAGATTCTCCATAGCCCTCCCTTTACTTTTAATCTATTTATTGAACAGTTTTCTATTATCTTTTTATTGTAGTGGGCAAGTTGAGTTTAAGCAGGGCTTTTGCCTTTCTAATTTTCTGCCTGCATATCCCAGCAGCTTCTTTGTACTCTCGAGTTGCCCATCCCTTCTTCCACCAGAGGTAGCCTCAGAAAAAGTTCCCTGTTCATCCATGCTGGTGTTGTTCCCTTCTGGCTCATCTTACAGCACAGGCAGACAGCCTGCTCTTCTAAGACTTCCTTCCTGAGGAGTGACCAGCCTTCCTGGTATTTATATTGTTTATACAAAATTAATATAAGGTGTATATGGTATGCATATCAGAAATAAAGAAAAATTATATAAAGAGTATAGAAAAGTGCATATAAAATGTATATTAGATGTATATAAAGATGTATTCAAATTTATATCTAATTTTGATAAATATTTGTAAGATGTATATAATATTTATGTAGGATTTATATAAAGCATATATAGAATTTATATGAAATATAAAGTTTATATATAGTGTAGTTTATGTAATTTATATATACAATGTATATAGCTTATATGCTATAATCATTTATACTGTACTTTAATCATTTTGAAAATCAAATTCATAAAAATATATAGAAGATGGTGGCAATGTAAGGCTCACTGCTCTGCTCTTTGCAACTTCTGAGAATGGATCCAGAGGGAAGGAGCAGCACTACTGCCCTTGGTATCACATCATCCATCTATGCTATTTGAGATGTAGGCCTTGAATTCCCACCTACAAATTTGCCTTGTAAGCAAAATCAAATGTTCTGGACACAAATGTTAACTCCTTGCCTTTCATGCATCCTTCTCAAGGATTCTCATCCTGTTATACTTAGCACAGTCCCAAAAATCAATCTCCAGTACTTGCCAAGAAATACTCAAGTGCAAGCATGGTGTTGTCCAAAAGCACCTCTCATTACCTGGCAGCTGTTTGCAGATGGGAGCTCATCACACAGTCTGCTGATTGTATGGCTGCTACTCTCCTTGAGATGGTTCCTCCCCAGCCCAGGGAACAGCAAGGTGAGCCAGGTGGGCTGGCTGTCACACCAGCAATGGCAGTGATCCCATAGCATCTGATCAGAAACACCAAGGCACTCATTCCTGCACCAAGCTTTGGAACAGGATTCTCAAACCTACTGCCAAACAAGCCCAAGCTTATGTTAGAAATACTTGCTTTAGCAAAAGAGAATAATCTTAACATTTCTACCTCTACCTTCTGATAGAGTAAGGTCTTAGGCTGATGTTCCTCATCATCTCTTCACACAAATTGGACCTCTGTCTTTTTGCCTTTCAGAGTGCCTTCGGACAGGAGAATTGAGGAATGTAAGTTAACATTGCACTGGCAGCTTCAAAAGTCCAGAATACCACAGAGCTTATGTTGAGAGGAAAACCTAATTTTCCTGTGAAAATAAAGCTGAATTAAACTACTATTGATTTATTTTCCTTGGAGGCATTTAATGATCTCTTGCTAATATTCCATTCAGAGTATAATTACAGAGATGTAAAGCAATTACAGCTCTGCTATGTTTAACTATGGACTGAAGCTCAAATCCCTTCTGGGAGCCTTTAATCAGGCTCTGGCCATATCTCCTATTCTGTGAATCCTCTTACTTTAAATGCAGAAGTAAAAAGCATTTCTTTGTGGCGGGAAACATTTGTGCATTGACTTTGGGCTCACCCAGTGCTCCAGGATGAGCTCTCTGCTGAGGGAAGGCCAGAACCAGTGAAGAGGTCACATCTAATGAGCCAGCACAGATGTTAAACGCAGTCTTAATGCTCAATGCCTTTTGCATGCTGCAGGGACCTCCCTCCCATGTAGCCCATGGCAGGGGTGAGAGCTCCCTTGCTAAAGGAACCATGTTTGCCTCTTCTGTACTGGTTTGTAGTACTGCTTCTCCTTAATGCTAGCTATTGTTGTAGGACAACTTTAGTAGGGGAAATAACAGTGTTTTAAGGATTCCTAGAGGTGTACTTGACCTAATTGAACACTTTCATTTTTCAATATTCCTTCTTAATACAGAAAACACTTCACATATGTGAAGCACTGAGGCCTTTAAAATTTACACTGTTGTTTGCATGGTGTAGCAAGCTGCCCTCTGCAGTGTTCTCATCCTTTCTGAGAAGTAGTTCTGACAATCAGATTTAGCAGATGAGACCACATCAGGTTGCTTCTATCACTGCACCAATCCCTGTGGAACATCACTGTGAACAGTATCCATTTATTCCTTTACTGTTTCCTATTTTCTAAGTTGCTCATTCATACAAATGTTTAAAAGTTTGTTGAGAGTGCACATGCATAAAGCCACACACAGAATCTCATTATACACAGGTCAGTGGTTTGGCACAGACAGGTCACACTCAGGTAAGATGTGTGTTTATACATGGAGAATTAAGCACAAAGCATCTGTTTGACTTGATATCACAAATCCATACAGAAGTGTTTAAAGGCCAGGCACTCAAACTTCTTCCATTTGTCTAGAAGTTCAGTTGAACGTGATGTGACCATAGTTAAGACAAGCTGTGCATTTCATTTATGTTGTTGAGTCTTTTAAGTTGTGAAACAATCAAATTTGTTTTCAGCTTCTTTCTTTTTCCTCCTCATGAATGCAGAAAAACTTCACTGGCCTAAGCAAGAACTTTCTAAGAAATCCATCCTGAGTCCAGAAGAACATAAACTGAATATCAATAATGAAAAAAGCCTCCAGCATCCATCTCCTGGGGTCCTTAAGGACATTTTTACAACAGGAACCAGTAGCTACAACGTCCTTCTGCAGAGCAAGGAAGAGAAGAAGCACCATGCTCAGAAGCAGTCACCTGCTCACCACAAGAAACACAGAAAAGCTACAAAGTGCTCCAGCACCTTGCGAAGCAGTGAGCACCGCAAAATCAAGGTCCCCCTGCCCTTGCTCAGCAGTGGGTGGTACTGCTCAGACCAACAGCCTTCTGTCCTCATCTCCAGCCCCATCTCTAATGGCGTGAAGCTTGCAAACAACATTTCAGCTGCAGGGAATGGCATAGGACTGCCACCTCGACCCAGAAGTAGAGCTAAGAGGCACTGTAATCAGACAAAACCAAAGCAATCTCCATCATCAAAAAGCCATGGGAAAGAGGGAGATGATTCCGGTCGAAAGCTCTGTTTGCTAACTGCAATCAAGCCTTCCAACGTGGAGAAAGAGAAAATGAAGTTCTTTAAGTCAGATTTCACATACAATCCTCAGTTTGAATATGCAAACCCTGCTTTGCCAAACGTATTAGCTAAGCACAGCCAAGCATCTGACAGATTTCTTAAGCAGGTACGGTTACATTTTTTTTTCTCCTTTTCTCCTATTTCTTTCACATTTATAAAGGTGGTGCTTGTCTTTGTAGCAGATGGAAGTTGCACCTCTTTGCCTTTCTCCTGTGTTGTTTGAAAAGTGCATCAGTGATGAGTACATAATACAGCTGTCTTTTTGACTAGAAAATGAAAGCCTGCCTAATATTTAAAAGATTTAATAGGCAGAAGGCACAACTGCTCATAAGTTACATTCCATGTAAACCCAGTTAAGGCAAAAGAACTCTTTAGTCAATGAAGCAGAGTGTAGAACAGAAATACTACTAAAGCATAAAGAGGTTTTAATAAACAGAGGGAAAAAAAGCAGTGTAGAAACCCTGCCAGTCCTCGTGGGTGACACAAAGATTGGCAGGAGATGGCAGTTATTTGATGTCATGGTTATTAAATATATTCAATATACGTTTATTTTCCTTGTTTTAATTGCTTTTGAAAGGGTATCTGCATTACATTAAGCTGAACTATGCACAGATCAGTGCTGTGTCCTTGATCCTGACTGAAATTCCAGTCCAGAGATAGATAAAAGAAACCCTTTTTCCCCATTGTATGCAGCCACAATGAAATCCAAACAGGTATTTCTTCCCTTAACCTTCAGCTTGAGTACCAAAAAACACAGTGCTTACCTATGCAAGAAACAGTTCTTCTCCACTTCTTTTCTCCTTGTTTTTTCAAGAAAATCCATCTAAACTATCATGTTTGACAAGCTTTTCTAAACAGTCTCGTGTTACAAGGAATGCACTGCTTGGGAAGAAGTCTTCCCATTTTATGAGATTCATTTATGTGCAATATGAATATCTGGGTTCAAAAAACCCAAGTTCTTGATGCAAAATGTATCCTGAATTAAGTTACAACGAGTTCTTGTAATTGACTTTTACTTTTGAAAGATCTGACATTTACTTTCAAATCCAAGAAAGTACACTGGTGGTGTTACCCATTAATTTGGTCACCATATTGGAAGACAGAGTCTGTATTATTATGTTTAAAAAAAAAAAGAAATCTGTCAGGGTTTTATTAAGAAATTATTTTCTTTATAGAAGAGCTATTCTGTACTTAGAAATGAATTTCCATTTTGCTATGATTTTAATAACAATATTAATAACATCAACCATTTCAGTAAATCAACACCGATCTTCCAAACCACACCATTATGAAAATTCCCCCTTTCATATAATGAATTCTTCCTCCATTTCTGAAATTATTTTATTGTAAAGTTCTTAGCAAGAAAAGCATTTCATGGAAGTTTCAGCTCCTAAAATACTGAACAAAATTCTGCACTTCACATAAATACAATATAATATATTGCATTTATATAAATAAATAAAAAACAATTTTAGCACAGTTCTAAGCCCAGCAGGTGGCACTCTTCTTTCATTTACAGCTCACTTTACAAATTCTCATCTCCCCACACACAGGAATTTCGTTTCCTGCAAATTTACTGTCCAGAAAAATGGCATGAATCAAGATTTCAACCAGTTTCCTAGCAGAGGGTCTGGGACTTCAGTTCAATGAGATCAAAACCTGACATTTTCAGAATTTTAAAGGATTGCTAATGATTTCAAAATTATTTTCACCCACATCTGTGTATTGCCTGCAGAACATTAAGACAGGCCATGTTTTCCTGTCCTCCTTTCTGCTTTTGTACAGATCTGTGGAACTGGTTAATGTAGCACTGCAGAAACATTTCTGGAAAGTGAATCACACTGCTTGCTCTTTTTAAATTAAAGAAAGACAAAGAACAGCAAGGACTTGCAAGCCATTAACAGTTCTGCAATGGGGATACACAGGCCTGTGAGCTTCCACATCTGTTGTCATGCCTTTAGTCGAATCAAAGAAGATTCTCAACATCAGGCATAGTCTCTCTCTTTTAATAACTGATTTTGCATGGTCATGCAGTAAATATTTTTTTAATTATTAACACATTTGAAAATAGTAATTTTAACATCTCTTTACTTTGCTCTATTTCTTTGTTTCTCTCTTCCTTTTTCATCAGCTTTTCTTCACAATAAAGTTCTTTCATGAGTCACACAATGTGTGCTCCTAGGGAAGACAGCTTGAGAAATAAGAAGTGCTATGCAGGCTTATAGTTTTTCACTTCAGTTGACCCTGTAATGTGTTTCAAGATCAGTGTAGCAACCTTGTGCTATAGCAGCGCTATGAAATTTCTTATTTGCTCTCCTGGCTCAGATTACTTGTCCTTCATTGTTTATTTTTTTAGAAATCAACACTTAAGCCATGTGTTTTTGCACACATCATAGGTGGCAACACTTAGCTAGAAGTAATTATCCCCCCAGACCACGTGCAGGGCACATGACTTAACAGTTGCAGTTTGCTGAACCAAAATCAGCAGAGAAGATACAACTGCAAGTAATCTGCCTGTGAATACTTCTATTTCTTGAGCTGTACAAAAAGGCAGGAAAGCTGCCTTTTAAAGTAAGCCATCATTCTGTTGAGTGAGTAATCCCTCCTGTGAAAGAGCTATACATCCTTTTCCCTTTTAGGAATAAGAAAACAACAGCCTTGAGTTAATAAATAATTTCGCCATGTTCTGTTTGCATTGCACACCATACACATTAGAATTAGCCTGCAATTAAGTGGAGCTGGAAGGCTAAGTGACTAGACATTCAACACAGTAACTCCTTGCAGTGTACAGGTCGGGTCACAGATGAGGTGTGTTGAACTCCCAACAATGCAACACTGGCCCTAAGAAGCACCTAACTGTGAACCACATCATTCTCTGCTACTAACTAAATACACTCCCAAAATAAGATTCATAGATAAACTATAGGCTTAGTAAGATTATCAAGATGGAAAGAAAATAAAACATAAATGAAAATGCTCACCAGTGTTGTAGACTCACAGTTAACTCCACAGAGGAGGGATCTCCAGCAAGAGACCCTTCCCTCGTGGCAGTCAGCACTTAAATGGGGTCTAGGAGAGGTGCAGCCAGGCTCCACCCCTTTGGTCATACAACTGAATTGCCTTCACCTGTGCTGCATGGCTGACTCAGTGCTTGCCCCAGGTGATCAATCAGTGGTTCAGGCTATGATCCAACAGATCCCATACAACATGCAACATGAGGCTGATGGCATCACCTAAGTAGCACAGTTTTTAGGGTACTACACAGGCTTCCCTCTTCCACATAGTGGTATTGCTGTAGGGGCAGAAATTTGTTTCAGGACACAATGTCATTAAAAAAAAATGATGAGTATTTCATTAGGGATATTTCTGGCAGATCCAAATTAGTTAAAAAAAAAAAAAAACAGTGTAAACACTGAATAAAACGCAAATACTACTGGCTGTACAGGCTGTCCTCAGAGCACTACACTTACCTCTCTCCAGTTGCACCCAAAAAGGAGATGCAGCCACTGCTTTATGGCTGTTAATAAGACCAATATGTTCAATGTGTTACAGCCTACTGTTCCCCAAGCATGCATCTGGGAGGTTTTTCCCCTCACTTCACACACAAACATGCTGTGCAGGGGAGTAAGCAGTGGTGCCTGCAAGCGTTGCCTGTCTCACAAATCTCAGCTCAGCCTGATAGCTGAATGTGGGAAGCTGGCCTCTTGGTCACTGAGCCCATTTTGTAAGTTGGTTGCCTCAAACTATTCATGAGTGTGTCTTATCAGTACATACAACTACAGTAGTTTTTGAGTGACTAAGTTATATTGCTACACATGGATGATTTGGGATTCAGAATGCTACTTGGCTATAAATAATTTCAAGAAGCCAACACTACCAAAACCTAAACCTGATAATTATACAGAGTTTTGCTTTGTTCTCATTAGTTCTGTTTCATTACTTTCATGATCATCAGCAGAATTTGTTGTGCAAGGGGCCTTGTCTTGTAAATTATGTTCCTTTTAGCAGTGATGAAAGTGGTTCAGTGAGACACTTTAGACAGTAGTGAAAAGAACAGGGCTTATTTCTCCTAACCAGTGACCCAGTACAGTCAAATAGTCCTTCTTTTGTTCTGGTCCTTTCCATGTTGCTTGAGAATTTGTCTCTGTGAACAGTGGTGAGATCACTAACTTACTTTTCCTTACTTGGCCCAAAGGCCAGAAAATAAGCTCACTGTTGTGTGCTGGAAGGGCCAAGAGCTGGCATCCTGTTCTGTATTTTCCCAGCAAGTTCTTGCAACACTTGACTTTGAGTCATCTCAGAGACAGGAGTAGAAACCCACATGAGGGGTTCTGTGTTGTACTCAATGCCTGAGATGCTAAAAAGTCCCAAACCTTTTCCCCATCACTTGAATTGATTGTGGCAAGTGTCCAAATTGGCAGCATCACTGGGACAAGTCCTGTCTACCACCTCCCAGAGATTTGTGTTCTGGGAGAAGTGCATGTGTGGCAGCTCTCACTGTTGTTTCAGTGCTCCAGGACTTGTTTTGCTTGAAGCAGTCATGGGAGAAGGTGATAGTGGTGAGCACCCTTTAAGTAGTTTTGAAGAGAATACATGTTCAGCAAAGAGGAGGCTTAAGCTTCATGACTTTCTCAATGAACGTGTCTTCAGACTCACAACATGTGTTTGCATGTGTCTGAGCTGTCAGCATATAGGTTACTCCACATGGTAGGTGTAAGAGGAGATACTCTTCTTCATGCATCCTACCCTTCATCTGGAAGCTGCAACACTTACCTGTGATTGAAGTGGAAGAGGACAGAGCTGAGTGTGGGCAGAGCTCAGGAGGGCAACCTGAAGGCATGGAGCAGAAGCAAAGATGTTGGTCTCCTGACTCCCAAACTTCTGCCACCTCCTTTGGTACGCCTAGGGTTCAGCACTGGGGAGTCTCCTTGTATGGAGAGCCAAGCAGAAGGTCTCATGCATGTTCAGTGTTTTTCTTGCTATTTGTTGTGATTAGGTGGTTTTAGAAAGTTCATTGCACGCCATGTTATGTTCAAACCAACATATAAAAAGCTGCACCTTGTAGTAATTTATCTTTGCAAACAGTGGTGAAACAGAACTGATTACTGAAGTCTACACACCCTCCTCAAATATTCTTTTTTATATGTGTTTTCATGTTGAGAAGAAACAATGTTTGTCAGTCCTCTGCTTCCTCAAACTTGCTCTCATCAATCAATTCTCCAGTACCAATCAGTTCTCCAGATCTGTCCCCTTTTCAAGAGGTATGGAAACGGGGCTGTATCACAGGGACAAGGGATGTGATTGTCCTTCTCTCTTCTGCCCTCGTGTGGCCCCACCAAGTATTTCATCCAGGTCTGAGGCCAACAGCACAGGACAGAAATGGAATTGTTGGAGTGGATCCAAAGAAGGCCAAGAGGATGATTGGAGGGCTAGAGAACCTCTTGGTTGAAGACTGGCTGAGAGAACTGGGTTGTTTAGCCAGGAGAGGAGAAGGCTTCAGCAGCACCTTATTAACAGCCTTCTAGTTCCTAAAGGGGCCTACAGAAAACCTGGAAAGGGACTCTTTATTGGGGAGTATACTGATAGGGCAAGGGATAATGCTTTTAAACTGCAACTGTAGATTTAGATTAGACACAAGGTAGAAATTATTGGCAGTTGAATATGGTGAGGCACTGCAGCAGGCTGCCCAAAGAAAATATGGATGCCTCACCCCTAGAAGTGTTCAAGGCAAGGCTGGGTGAGGTCTTGGGCAACCCGTTCTAGTAGGAGATGTCCCGTCTTATGGGCAGGGGGGTTGGAATTAAATGCAGGGAGGATGTGTGACGAGGCTCCTGCAGTAGCCTTTCTCTTCAGAGTTTTTGGTGCAATCAAAGCCAAGATTCTTCTCCTCCACTCCAGCACTGGCAACGGTACCGGTGTTCCTGCTTCTCTGCAATAAAAAAGTCTGTTAAAAAGACTTGCTTTAGAAGAAAAGATGGAACACAGCAAGCTCGCTTGTCCAAGTTTTAGTTTGGCTGGAAGTCGGTCATGTAATTTAAGTAGAGAACAGGAGCTGATTTCCAAGTCGTTTGTTGACTTTCTCCATGATTTCTTAACAAGGCACTGTTCAAAACCAGCTAGACTTTAGCTGTTACTCTCACATGTTTCTCTTTCCATGTTGCCTGAGCAGGCTGCAGCTAATGTGGTCAGGGAAACTGCAATGCTACGGACATACTAATAAATAAAACAATGCTCATCTTGTTTTCTGGCCCAGAGGGCAAACGACAAGATGTGACTCATGTACTTATGGCTGAACACTCCACATATAAAATGCAGTGGCCTCGTTCCCACTTCTGTTGGTAACACAAGGACTGTAGGACCTCTCGGTCAAGGCCAAGTGTTGCCTAAAATTGCTGGTTTGCCTAAGAGAGTCTTGCCTGTGGCCTTCTGACAGCTAAGCTCAGTGGATGGACCCATTCCAGCAGTAGAGCCAGTGTCCTGGCCTTATTGGATTTACTGGTAGAGAAATATAGCCTGAATGATGGATACTAAAAGATGCCTTAAGATTCCTTAAAATGGAAATGACCAAATCCCAGCCTCTTTGGAAAATGACATCCATCCCTGCATAAGTTTCTGCACTAAACAACTTTCAGAGAATATAAAGCCAAACAGTCCTACCCACAGCATTTACAGAATTTCAGATCACATTACTGAAAACTTTTGAGTGGAATTTCCATTCTGTGGCAACCGTACAAAGTACATTTGAATGCAGAAAGACCCATCTCAGCTGCCTGGGGAATTGCAGTTCCCTGGCTTTGGCCTCATGGGAGGGCTTCAACTCAGGCCTGTGCTATAACTCAGACTGATGCAGCTCTTTTACATCTTGCATCTTCATCTCTCTCATTTTTATAAAAGTCCTACTGAACACAGCAGGGTATTATTATTATTACTATGAAGCTGACATAGATGTGAAAGGTTTCAGACATCTTGTTTGAGACAGGTTGCCATGTGGGTTGAAGTTCATGTTCCAGGTGCTGTTAGTCTCCAGAAATATTATGCCTGTAGTAAGGGATTCATGTAAGAAAAATCTCTCAAGCCTTTATTTATATCATGCCCCTGCATTTATACAAGACCTAGTGTAGAAAGAAGTTAAGTAAAGTCCCATTTACATCATAGCTTTCCAGTACAGGTATGTAGGCCACAGGGGCCAGCTGCTAACTTTACTCTTGGAAAAAAAAAAATCAGAGTGGATCAGAAGGCCCTTCAAATGTAATATTAAGTATGAGAAGCAAGCAAAGAAATGCTGAACATTAAGTGCAGTATTTCTTTGTGTTGTGGTTTGATCCAGCAGGTGGCTCAGCATCACGCAGTTGTTATTGGCTTACTCCCCTCTCTTCCCAGTGGGTTGGGGGAGAGAATTGAAAAAAAACAAAGCAGAACTCATAGGTTGAGATACAGAAAGATACTAAGATACAGAAAAAGAAAAGGATAAGATTTATGACTATATATATGTGAATGTATATAACAAGAGATGCAGAAGCAATTGCTCACCACCCCCGATCGATGCCCAGCTAGCCTCTTGAGCAGCACAAGGGAGTGAGATGAACTCCCACCCCCTTGAGAACTCCTTCCACATGATGTCATATGGTATGGAACATCCCTTTGGCTAGTTCCAGCCTTTCGTTAGTATGAGCTGAGAATATGGAATAGCCTTGGCTCACTACAATACTGTTTAGCAATAACTAAAAACATCAGTGTGTTATCAACATTGTTTTTCTCCTAGACTCAAAACATAGCATCATACCAGACATTCTGAAGAAAACAATTCCATCACAGTTGAAACTACTTTGGCATTCATTCTGGTAATTCATCTTTCATCAAAGAGATACATGACTACAAAACATGCCATAACTAGCATCTTTGGCTTTTGTGACAGTTACTCAGAGTTGCTTAGTTTCAACTTGAAAAATACTAGAATGAGATTCTTAGTAGCTGTGAGAATCCTCTTTTTGCAGATAGTAAGCCAGTCTGACAATGCCAGAATTACACAGCTGGAGACAAGCGTGTTATCAGTTTGGTGCATGGGTATAACTGTAGAGTGTAAAAAGAGATTCAGTCTACGAGATTTCCACCATCATTATTAGTGGCATTTTCTTAGCAAGCACATTCATTCTTTAAAGTAATACCGGTCGTATTTTCTTTCTGATGTTCCTGGGAGCTTCTGTTATCCTATCTATGAAAAAAAACCAATTCCCTGTGGCTGAGCTATTGCTGAGTATTCTAAGCTATGTTTTCTTTTAAGGATGTGAAATAATGTATTGGGAAGTAGATTACTGGGAATGAGCATTGCACAGCCCAGCAGTAACATCTTCAACATGCAGACTTCAGATCACTTTATAGGCATCGTGCTCTGCTTCTTGCCCACAGTGAGACCTTATTGCTCTCTACAACTCCTTGAAAGGAAGTCGTGGCGAGGTGGTGGTCAGCCTCTTCTCCTGTGTAACTAGTGGCAGGACTAGAGGGAATGGCTTCAGGTTGCACCAGGGGAGGTTCAGATCGGATAGTAGGAAAAATTTCTTCTCCAAAAGAGTGGTCAGGCACTGGAATGGGCTGCCCAGGGAGGTGGTGCAGTCACTGTCCCTGGAGGTGTTCAAGGAACATTTAGATATTGTACTAAGAAATGTGGTTTAGTGGGGAAATACTGGTGGTCGGTGGATGGTTGGACTGGGTGATCTTGGATGTCTTTTCCCACCTTTGTGATTCTATGATTCTGTGATTCCTAATTAAGAAAATAACAAGAATTGAAATAATACGATATCAATTGTTCGTATTTGTAAAATTATTTGGAAAATCATAAAAAAAAACGTGCTGACAACTTACCAACTTAACCTGCAAATGTCCTTGTGACCTGCTGTATCTGATTTACAAGACAGTCGTACAACTTTCCCAGGACTGAAGAGAAAATTTCACTGAAGTGATAATCATCAGTGTTGTGTTTATGTACACACATTGAAGATGAGTGAGTCAGAATCATTTTTCAATCCTTTGGTATTGGTGTCTGAATGTTTAAACTGGGTTTATTGACTGCAGTTTCATAGAGACTCCCAGTGAATTCAAAGTTAGAAGAAAGATGAAAAAGAGAGAGAAAGAAAAGAAAAAGCAGATGTGCCAGTCTGACACAGGGGTCTTACTGTGTTCATATTTGCTATGCTTTTGTATTTTGTAGTCCATTAACATCATGGAGCGGACGCTGCAGAAATATGGAAGCTATGAAAAGTTTGAACAGGCCACCGGTGGCAGCTTGCTGACCAAAAGCCGTATCTGGAATCATGTTAGGAAATACATGGTGAAGGAAGGCTGTCTTGGTGAGGTAAGCCGTACAGCAGATCAGGAAAGGAGCATTTATTTATGTGTGAGGCATTTCACATTGCACATGGAGGGACCTGACAGTTTGTGTGGGAGGCCTTTACTCCTTAATAACAAGAAAATTCCTTACATCATATTTTTCTCATGGTTGTGTTCAACTCTTGAACAATTGAAATGATGCAAAGTCGTCGTGAATACTTCAGCCATCTCTTCAAGCCTGCTTCCTGGTTCATTTATGCTTATTATTAAAACCAGCTCTTCTGGGATTACACGAGAGCAACACCCTTCCTTCCCTCCTTTTACAGCTTCTTGTAGAGGAGCACATTTCCATTTATTTGTCAGTTCTGTCATCCATTCTCCTGTATCAGATTATTTACACCAAAGGTAATAGGATTAAGAAGAGGCCAAGAAAAATAATCAGCAGCCCAAGAGACTGTTTTCTAAGAATTTGAAGAAATGAAAGTGACATAAGTGAATAAAAACGTCTGAAAGAGGATTAGCTGGCTTAAGTGATGTTTTCTTCCTGACTTTTAGCATTTTAGAGTCCTGTGCAAACAAACTTATTTCCTATCCTTGAGATTTTAAATGTTGAATTGCTTGGAAGAGTAAGATGAAAATGGGTGTAGGAAAAGTGGATTATTCCAAACAAAATCACCAGCTGACAGAACCCCAGGCTTAGATGAGGTCATTGGCCATGAACAAGAGAAGACTGGAGTGGGAGATAAATAGTAAAACAAATGGGAAAAAAATATTTGATAGGAAATAAGGTTTAATTAATTAAAAACATAACAGTTCTGGATAAACTGCTAAACTCATCACACAGATGTGCTCATATTTGTTTTGATTTGTTTTTGTGGAAGCAGAATCCTAAACCCTCATCAAATATCCTATGTCATCTTATGAAACTTTCTCCAGAAGTACAGTTAATACATCTACCTGGTATTGTGTAAAGTATTATAAAAATACTCTCTTCAGCTGAAGAAGCTTTAATAAAGTGTAGTGGTACCAGTACTTTAAATGCTCTAGCACTTACCTTCCTTTCCTGAATCTTAAATTAGAGTTTTATTGGACTGGTTGCTGTTGGACTTGGAACTGAATGATGGGGTTTTATCATATAGGGAAGTCAACACTGGTAGTCTTATGCAGCCTTTAATTCCTGGGTCCTTTTTTGTTAACATTTTTCAGTTCTCAGTAATACCAAGATAACGAGAAACTGTTTGAAAACATAAGTTTCTCTGGTTTACTCTCCATTTGGTTACCCTCCCAAACTGGTCAGTGTTACCACATTCAGTTTTGCAGTCTTGTACCTGCCTGCGTTAATCCTCATGCAAAGTCCAACTCAGGTGGGAGGTTTTCTCAGAAGCGCGGATGATGGATATCTCAGCTGTCAGAAATGTCTCTCAGAGGGAGCAAGGAAGAGCAGTGAAGGGCAAGGGCCCCTCCAAAAATAGATTGAAAGGGCCACAGGAAAGCATAGAGCGGTAACAGGGACAAGAAGAGAGCTCTTTGATACCTGGCCTCTCTCATCTTCAGATTGTGGTCCATCTCACGGAGGACCTGCTTTCTCGAGCCTCAATGACAGTGGTGAATGGCCGCCCCACTCTCACTATCAATATCTCCACTGCGAGAGAGCACTGGCTGGAAGGGATGCTGAGACATGAAATTGGTATGAGCCTACCATCAGTTCTTCAGACAAAGGGGAGTACTTGCATGCATTCTTACTTATCTTGCACTCTTGAACCAGGCACTGTACATATACAGAAGAAGGGAACAACATCCCTGTCTAAAGGTCCTGCGCCATAGGTCTGCTAAAAGGAAGGAGAAACTTATTTTACCACTGCAAAGTGCAGTGCGGGGAACACAACCCATCTGAGGGGTCCCTTGGTTGCATGTACATGTCAGGGACATGATGTTTGTGAGATCAGCCTAGAGTCAGTGTTGGTTTTAAAAATGGAAACAAAAATAGTGTGATTGTTCCAGTTTAGAACCAGCCATTTCAGTTTAGAAATCTACTTCTGATACCATGCTCTGCTTGCAAATGTGGGCATACTTTAGTACCTAGCAGGATTGCACTGATTTTGCATTACACAAGGCTGGCTAAGCCCTGTGGAAAATTTCTATGAACTGTTCTACTTAACTACATCAAAACTGGATAAGTCTGGGTAGTGTCTGAGTTTCAGCTGAAGAATAAGCCCTGTAATTGCCCTGGAGCATCATTTCTCATGTTGTAATGGAACAGCAGTCTCTTCCAAGGCAGCAGTAGGGTCCTTAATCAGTTTTAAGAGGCAATTTTTCTGCTCCCTGAGCATTTCTTTTATTTGATTCTCCTTCCTTCTGTTCACCACAAAGCCTAGGCCATGTTTGAGGCAACCAGCATGTAAGGCACTTTTGAAAATTCCTTTTCATGGATTTAGGAACTCAAGTTCTGCTGATGTTTTTGTACCTTAGGCATTTTCAGGAGTTTCATGTTGTGGTCAGCAGGTGAATATTTGCACTGTGTATCTACTTCTGACAACATACTCTATTGCAAACTGTGCTAAATTTGGCACTTTCACCCAAGCCCAGTCCTACTAGTTCAGAGTTCTGAAACCGGCCCCAGCTTTAATATTTTCCCATTTTCAAATCATTAGATGTTAATTCTAAGTCTCGTATTCCTTTCTTTTCAGGAACTCATTATTTTCGGGGTTTTAACAACAATAGCCAGCCTTGGTGCAACTGGAACGGACGTAGAAAACATGGGTTGAAACCAATCAACCCTACAGAAGAAGGGCTGGCAAGCATTCACAGCGTCCTGTTCCGCAAAGACCCTTTCCTTTGGAGGGCTGCCCTGCTCTACTACACTGTCTATCAGGCCAGCCAGATGTCCTTCAGTCAGCTGTTCCAGGACGTGGGGAAATTTGTCCAGGATCCCAATACCAGGTGGGATTACTGTGTACGAGCCAAGAGAGGCTGGACTGACACATCACAGCCAGGTGGGTTCTCTGTTTATGTGATGTATTTTTGTGCTTCAGGGAGGTTTCAGAATGTGCATAGAGCTCCTTCAGCAAAGTAAAACTATGAAAGGGAGACATAGGCATCTGTACTTTCTGAAATGAGGCCACAGGATTTCTGCTATTGAAAAGAAGGATGGAAATGCACTTTTTCTAGACATTCACTCTGATTTAGTAAAGGCTTTTTTGCTGAAAGAGGGAATGTAAAACCGAAGAAGCTCAAACTCAGTTTGATTTCCTTGCATGTTTATTTCAAAACTGTTGCTGCAGATGTTCTTAAAGACTGTCTTCTATTTTCTTGGTAGTGGGTTTAGCATTCTAGTTATTTTGGGAAAGGTTTTCAAACTCTGGGGTAAAAAGTTCCTTTTACCATGGTGTCTGAGAATATGCCTTCAACAAACCCTGAGAGAATGCAATTTATTTTGGTTCCTTTCAGGCTGTTTCAATAAGGATCAGGTGTACTTAGATGGCATCCTCCGAATCCTGAGATATAGGGAGTCCATTGATTTCCACCTTCTGACAGCACTTGGCAAGGTGAGTGGACTCGTCTTTAACCACAGGATCCAGTTTTACCATTTGAGTAAGCTTGTTTGCAAAGATTTATGAGTCGTTGTGCTTTGTTTTACTTTGATAGAAATCTCTGTTCTGTACAGCGCCGGGTACACACAGTGCAGGTTAAAAATATGATGAAGTCCTAAGAATTCCTACCAGTTTTTCTTCATTCCTTGTCTATCAGATTAAGATTTTACTGTCATATTTCTCCTTTCGTCCTTTTATAAGGTGCTGCCTGACTTGCCTTGAGCAAGCAGGCCAGCTGCTAGATAAGATGGTGGTCCCAGTAGGAAATGAAATTCACAGATTGATGCTAAGGCCATCCCCTTCCTCCACAAAGGAAAAGATAACATGTTTTTCATCTCAGAGTCTTATTCACTGTTTTTCATAAGTTAGAGTCTGTCTTTTCCAGAATACATGATGTTTCTGCATTCAGAGAACGTTTTCTCTCCATTGTCATTGCTTGTTTTATCTGAAAACAATACACAAAACCATACTGACTGCAGAAACTGTCAGTTACTGAACCAGTTCCTTGGGCTGCTAAGTTTCTACAGTTCATAAAATAGAGTTCATACTCACATAAAGGAGGATTCACATTAATATTACTGTGCTTGCATTTAGAGCTGCTACACCAACATTTTTGCCTGCTTGGCAATCCCTGGGTGATAAAGGGCACATTACAATAGAAGCTTTTGGTCCACAGTGTTGGACCAGTGTTGCCTGTTATGCCAAAAAGATTATATTGGTGATATTCAGTTACTATGTGTGTAACTGAACCAAGTTAGAAACCTCTGAAAAAAAATTGCACTGTGTCAAATAAGATTGCAGCTTTATTCTCTGAAACTTCCCACTTCTCTGCTGCTGAAGACTCCACTGTCTGTGTCAGGTGTTCAGTTATTTTCAACCCCCTTTGTGGCCCTTCTCTGGACTCACTCAAGTATCTCTGTATACTCTCAGGAAAAACAAGTTGTATTTTCCTCTGGGTCAAGTTTAGCAATCTGGATTAGGCTCTCTTATCTCTCCAAAGTACCCTTCCATGTCCCTTACACGCTGGTGGATCATCTGTGCTGGCTCTAACCATTTCTGAACAGGGATCACCACCTGCTAAGCAGGCAGGCTGTTTGCAGCGAGCCCTGACAGCACAGTGCTCAGCTCCTTAGAAGAAGTGTAGGAGTCAAAAGGTTTGGCCACCTGGCACAAACCTGCTGGGAGGAAATAGGATGTGCCAGTTAGCACGCACAGCCAGGCTTGTGTTTCTGCCAGCACATATGCTTCTGTCTGTAGGGTGCTTCAGCACACGCAGTTCAGAGACAAAGCAACAACCACATACATTTCATCATGAGGTATCTGCCCAAGGAGACCTGTTCTGTGTTTGCAGGTCAGCCTGTGTAATTATCATACAGCCAAAGCATTCATCTTCTTCTGGACCATCACTCACAGCACCTTGAGCTATTGTGACCTCAAGACTTGAGGTCCTAGCTTGCAGAATCATTAGATGCTGGTGAAAAACCTCAGCTTTCATTACTAAAAAGTAGCAGGTCCTTAGAAGCTGGAAAAAGCTTGAAATTGCCACTCCTCTACCCAGAAGGCTTTGATGCCTAGAAGTACAACTAATCTCCACCCTGCTGTCAAATGAGAAAAACAAACAGAAAACCCACAACATTTTGGGATGTGTAAGGTTGTCAAAACAGGAGTTAGTCACTTGAGGTGCACTGTAATGTAGCTTATCACAAGCACATTTGTTGGTGAGAATCCCCACTTCTTCCTCACCTGTCCTGCAGAGTTTCCAGTTCCTTGCTCTTGGGCACAGTGTCCTCTCCATTCTTGTATCAATCTTTGAGACTGACTGAGAAAAGACCTCAGGACTCACATGTGCTCCAGCCTTCTCTGTTCCTGTAGCTGTTGTAGGTCGGTGTCATTCAGTTTTCTCTCAATCTATTCACTGATTTAATCAAAAGCAGAATCTGGAAGTTTACAGACGTTTGCTAAAATTACACTTTTTTTGCATCTTCCACTGAGGCTCACTGAAACCTTTTCTCACCTACAAAGGGTAAGTTACAGCCTCAGCAAAGAAGTAGCAGGGCTATAATGCAGATCTAACCCACGTCCTTCCTTGCAGATCTCATATGAAGACGTGGACCGTCTGAAAGGGTTGGCTGTGATTGAGAACATGAGGGTACCACACTTCCTGCAAGACCATGCCCGGTATATGGAGCACTTGGAAAAGATTATGGAGGTCAATGAGCTGACTGATGAGGAGCTCCAGGATCTCATAGACTAAGAATACCAGCCAGCTGCTCAGCCTGTGCAACTGAGGATATGGAACTGGATTTCTGAGAGCTTGCAAAAATGGACTTACCAGGGGTGGAGCAGGAGGAAAAGGCAGCCAGAGTATGTGGAATTCAGAAAAAGTCCCTTTGTGTTCCTTTTGCATTGTGACTGTATACTAATGATTTTTTCAAAGAGTCTGTGCATATTTTAGTCTGGTTTAGGAATCCCTTTGCAGTGACCTGTCCAGCCACCTGCTCTGCTTTGCGGGCTAGGCATAATGCTTGTCACTTTCTCTTGTGATATACTGCCTTTTCCCATCCAGATTTAGAGGTGGAGGAAAGGAGAAAGAGGGGAAATTCCCCTTTTGTCTACTCATGTACCCTTTGCCTTTGGTCATCTTTCACAGCTTGTAGAGATAGCACTGTTGTAGTTATGCTACCTCATTGTCTGTGTGACTCTTTCTAATTTGTCATCATTGCAACAAGAAGTTTAAAGAAATGATCACAGTGCACAGAAGCAGGTCTTTGTGCACCAGCTCTGTAATACCATTAAAAAGTTGTTTGTTTTTTTTTTATTAGGAGATTCAGCTTTAAAGAAAAAAAAGAAAGAAAAAAAAAGACAGGTATTTGCTGTTTTGATGACTGCAAACAGGTAGCAAAATGATCTTTTTTATTATTCCCCCAGATTGTTACTGTTCCACATCTCTGTATAGTACATGTTTAGGAAGCTGAGTCCTGGAAGGGTCTCTCTCCTTTGAGGACAAGTGTATCAGGGCTAGTAAGTTCTATAGGGCAGCATTTTGGAAGAAAGCTTGGGCAGAACTATGATTTTGTGACTTTTTTTTTTATCAATACGTTCAGGAACGTAGGGACATAAGTCAGCAGGCAGCACTCACTTCTTTTTTGGGTCTCCAGAGCCTACAGAGCATCAAGTCACTTTTTGAGCAGTATCAGGCCTCAGTGCTACAGTAAAGTTGTGCTCATTGCAGAAATGAGATGTGGAAGGGGAGAAGAGCAGACTCACAAGTGCCCTGTTCCTGTGTTCCTACAGGACTGCTGCACCACTTTAAGCAAACTTACCTCTGTTTTATCTGCCGGTGCTATATCCAGAAACAGGTAGAGAAAGTGTGTTTCTGTGAGGCACTGCTGGCCACATGATAGATAGCTTCGATGACAGAGGAGGGCTCACTGCATAAACCACATTTTCTGAATTCAGAGTATGATGGATTGTTGAGGCCAGCTGAGTTTTGCACCTGTAAGTACTTTGAGAACCAGTTTGGTTTTAGTAGGCAGCATTTTAGCAGCGCTCCTCTGAGCTCCTGGGGAAGCAGCTGTGATGCAGGAGGCTGTGCAGGAAGATGGGAGCTCCCAGAAGGCTTCTGCCAGTTCTTCCCCTTGTGCTGTGACCCACAGATAACAGGCCCAGCACTGAATAAGACAAGTGGAGACAAGGTTTCCTCCACAGGGGCTCAGAGGTCTGAAGGTTTTTGAGTGACCCCATGAAACCAGCTGCCTTTTGGGCAGCATGGCAGGTGTGCTCACAGCAGCTGGCTCACAACTGCTTCAGAAAACAGAATGTGTTCAACAAGCATAAATTTACTAAATTTGGTTATTTTCAAGGCAGGGACCAAGAACCCCTCACAGTAGCCTTAATTTTATATTGTTAGTCTTGTTCACTACCTGGAAGCCTTTCAGCCTCTGTGTGCAGAAATAAAAACCTTTTTTTTTCCTTTTCTTTTACAAGTTTGATCACTTGTAGCTTTGCCTGCCCAGCTTTGATGAAGAACCAAACCCAGCAGATGTAGCATTGCAGCAGCCCTGTGGGAACAATCAGCAGTCCTGCACCCACGCTCTCCAGATACTGGCTTATTTGCTGGAAGCAGCAAGAAAGCCATGCATGGCAGGGGTCGAGTCAAAGATCACAGCCAAAAGGCAGCTTCAGAGCAAATTATGTGATTGCAGAGAACTGGGCTCACTGTGCTGATCCAGGGGAACCTGAGGGCCACTCCTTTGTGAAGGGGACAGCTTTGAACGGATATTTTCATAACTGTAGATAATTCCTTATCAATGCAATTCTACATCAAGTGTCCCAGTAGTTGTGTGTTACAAAGTAAGGGTATTACTGTCACAGGTCCTTGGAAGCAGGAGACTGTGCCAGCTTCCATGCAGTGCTGCAGCACTCCCTGCTCACAGCTTTTCCTCCAGCAGCCCCTGGGCTCTGTCACTGCACCACCAGATGTTCCTGCAGCCATAGATGCTTTCCTTCAGGACCTGTGTCCTGTCTTTTCCAGAGCAGTAGCTATCATTGGACTTCTGTTCTTTGTTATCCTAGAAGTAGGTTTGCCTAGAGCAAGGTTAGAGTCTGGAAGTGGTCTGTATGAAGATGTTACCTTACCAGCAGGTGAGAAACCTGTCCGCTTCTGTTTTCAACACTTATTTGTCCTTCCTCCTTTGTAAAAGCGGTTCAAATTTTGAAGTGTACCTTTTGTAAGTTTTCCTGATATTATTTTTTTTCCTGGTTACTAAGTCATGGTACAAAAGTTCTGTAATAAAGTTTTTGGACAGCAGTGCTCGTGTCACTACAGAGTATCGTGATGTCAGTGTCACGATGACAGCCTTTCATGGCTTTCTGGTCCAGTTGCTTTGCTGTACATCCATGTCTCACTACATCCATGCTATTCCTATACAGAAGCCTTGTCAGTGTTGGGAGACTCACCCTATTTCACCACAGCAGTGGTGGAGATGGCTTTCTGACACAGTTCTGGAAGGCACTGCTTGGACTTGGAGTCAAAGGGTCTCCATGTGTACACGTGGTAGAAGCTGTGTGCCAGGCACGGCACCCTCTCCTTTGCTTCCCCTTCTCTAGGATATGGCCTGAGCCTCTTGGAGGCGCTTGGCTGTGATTTCTCAGCACCATCCATCTGGGAAATGGCAGTTCCAAACATTCTGCTCTCTTTGAGGCACACCCTGTGTCTCCTTGCTGCTTTGCTTCAGGGCTCCTTGTCCCCTCTCTGAATTGTTTTTCCGCAGGGAAAAACTGCCTTTGTCTTGTGGCTCAGCTCCCTCATGTACACATAAGGATACTTAAGGATTGTGGGTGGGTTTTTTATTATTTTTTTTTCCAGTAGAAATACTTCTGAAGGCACTGTACGATGTGCCTTGCAAGATAGTGGAGTACTGTTGCATTATACTCCTCGTTCCTCGCTAGGTGGTTTGGAAAACTAAGACTAGGATGTGGAGGGGGAGGAATGCAGAGAAGAAACACCATCACTTGGGCTGGCTTCCTGTTGGCTGTGGCACAAAGGCCGACAGCCCACAGCCCCATGGCTGGCACAGGGCCCAAACACCAGGAAATCCCTCGTGGCTGCCATTCTCTGTGCTTCTGAGGGATACCGTGCTGATTTCTACAGTGCCAGCCCCACGCTGTGAGCCCCGTGTGATGAAGCTCACATCTCTGCTGTGCCTGGATGCACCCAGCGTGCTGCTATCACAACTGCATCCTTGGAGATCGATTGCTGGGATTTGTGTTTGCACCAAAATATTCCTGCTGTATCCCAGCTCCTTTTTTAGGCACTTTACACCCTGGTTTCACACCACCAAAGCTGGATGACCAAACCCACACCTGCTGAGTAACTGACAACAGTGTAACCCCAAAGGACAATGCAGAGGCTCTGCCCTGGAGCGAGCAGGTGAGAGCAAAAGGGAGGAGAACCATTTGGATGTATGTACCTCAGCAACCAGGGGAGGTCAGGGCTGGGTCCTTTGCAGAGATGCTTAACAAAAACAAAGTTATGTTTGAGCACTCCATTATGCATCATAACGTACCACTGCTATCTGAGTTTGCTCCCACAGCGGCAGTCACGTGAAGGCAGACACAGGAGAATGCCAACCACTGCTTAGCTTTTGGGCCCACCTCACACAACCAGTGCCACCAGGTGCCTCCAAATTCCAGGCAGGAAGGAGCCTCACTGCCCTGCAAGGATGTTGTGTGCAGAAAGCGAGGCCAGGTTTTCAAGAAGCAGCACAGCCATCCATACGGTCAGGCCCTGCTGGTTCCCAACACCCAGGTGCTTTCCTTGCACTGACCCTTCACAGCAGCCAAAGCTCCACCAGCAGGCACCAAATCTCTCTTGTCCTTTCTTTCTGCCCTGTAGGATCCATCTCACCCCAAGGCACCCACCCATTCACCTCCCAGTGAGCCAGGCTGACTGCTCCAAGGTCAGCAATAAGGAGGAAGGTGATCCAGCTCATTCCCTCCAGCTGTACTGATAAACACATCCTCACCGTTCTGCTGGAGCAAAGCTTCTGCCACACAGGGAGCTGCTGCCAGCAGACCCAGTATGGACCAGCCACACGCAGGCACTCCTCAGGCTTTTGCACAGCTGCACCACTTCACACCTGCAGCAGATTAAATGGCATCCAGCCTTGGCTCAAAATAAGGGGATCCAGCAGCATCATGCCTGCTGGAAATGGGCAAGGCAGCAGCAAGGAACCAGAATCAAGCAGGGTCCGAAGCAGCAGCCAAGTGCTCCTGCTGGCTTCTGCAATGACCCAAGACAAATGCACACACCTCTGGTTTTCAACACTAAATGCTTAGAGAAAGTAAAGGCACATTTTTGTCTGATGCTCTGAAACCTCCACTAAACCATCTGCAATGTCAATGAAACCTCCTTTACTGTGGTCTGAGTGCAGTGCCTAAAGAACGAGGATCTACCACGGCAACACCAGCTATCACTTCATCTGCACACACCCTGCAGCTGTGCCCTCCAGCACTCAGGAGGCAAGAAGACGTTTCCATCCTGGCAGCAGTTCTTGCTGTGCCTGACAGCCAAAGGTAGATCACTGCAGGACTCCAAACCTCTCTGTTTCCTGCAATAACCTCTTTGCTCTTCAGGGCCCACTGATCTGAGCTCACTTCTTTGACCTGTGCGATCACCTCCTTTCTAACCAACAGTTTTCACTGTGATCTGAGAGGAGCAAGAACGGAAGGCTCTCCAGCTGTCTCATGACAAAGAGATTCCCACTCCCCACCTGCCCACGGGGCTGAACAAGTTGGAGAGCAGAGTGACACCCAGGCCATCCCACCCTGCTCCAGCTTTAATTTTGTACAGAAATTAAGACACACTGATACATTCATCCATCTGTGTTTCCATGCAAGTTGTTGCTTCCTGAAACGAGGCCGTTATTTCAGTTCAACTAACCAAGCTGCTATGAAAATACTGCTCTGCTGTGCAGCCCTCATTTAGCATGTCCCCTTGGCTTTGGCACTGCTGTCAGGAGCATCTTTTGACAGCACTACAAAGCACATCAAAGAGCTTTCCTTTTCACTCAGCATGAAATGAGCTGGGCTAGCAGGAGCTCTGTACTCTTTACACTCATGTATTGCTCTTGAAGGTGCCGAGTTGTTTTTTCCAGTCCTTATGATTTCCCCTCCAGGTCACTGACTGTTAATTGCTATTTTACAATGTCATGCACTTGGGGAATTGAATGCTCCCTCTCAGATACCTTGTTGGCTGGTTGCTCCCTGTTCAGGACATGCCCAGAAACAAACTTCTATAGGAGAACCTATGAGCTCACCATCCACCCTTGCTGTATAAGTGATCACCATACACTGCACTCAGACTCTATGCTGTGGTGCCTGAAAGTGGCTCATGAGCTCAGGCACTGGATGCAGTGTTGCCTCCCAGGAGGAGCAATAGAAAATACAGCTCCCTGAAGAATCAATGAGCAGAGCCAGGCGCAGCACGCCCTCCTCTTTGATCCTCCGTCCTTGCTCAAGAAATCTGCTGCAGTTGCTGTGCCAGAGGAGTAGGGTTTTTCCTGTGAGATCCCCAGCAGGAAGCAAAGCAAAGGGCATTGCCTTGAGTGTCGGCGGGTGGAGGAGTGAACCAAGTTCTACAAAGGCATGAGTCAGAGTTTTCCCAGCTCCTGAAAGCTAACACACAGAGAAAAATAACAGTGAATGCTGCACAGCAAGCTAAAAGCCAAACCAGGCTCCACAACTCCCGTCTGGGACAAAATGCACCCTTCCCAGAAGCACAGAGAGAGGAAGGTGAGGAAGAGGGGTGTCCATATTGACACTGGGCTGAGTAGGCGTGGTGTTTCTCTGGGCCATAGGGACCATGCAGGGCCTTTTGGTCATATAAGGGTCCAGCACCTCTCTTGTTTCCCAGAATTAGCAGCTTTTGCAAGTGCTGAGCTCACAAAGGAATTGCCAAGAATATCCACAGAGTGGATCTTTGTGTCCCTTTGCTATTCCCCTCAGTTTACAAGGAAGCAAAGAAATGTAACCATCACAAACACCACCACAGCAAAGCCCTGCCTGGCAGCATTTTAGCCAAAATCCTATACAGTATTAAAAGTACACTTTATTTTCTGTACAGTTCTCATCCAAATCTCCAGGCATGGAGATGGGTCCATCACATCCCTATAAAAAGTTACAGGCCACTCTATTGCCGTGGGACACCCCAGAGCTGTCCGTAAAGGGCACGGAGCGAGAGCCATCGAAGGCAAGTGCTGATGTTTTCTGGACATGGGGGGGACAGGTGAAGGAGGAAGAGGGGGAAGCAGCTCTTCTGCTCCACAGCTGAGTCTCCAGCAAGCAGAGCTATGGGCTGACCCCTGGAACAGGAGAGACACCTCCCGTTCACGTCATCGTTCGTGTTTAGTGTTTGAGTCGCGCTCCACGGTCACCCCGTTTCCATTCCGCGTCACCTCCTTCCTGTTCCAGTCCTTTTCCATGTAAAATTCAGCTAGCACGGGGCAGTGGTCCGAGGCTACTCCACCCCAGGACCAGTTATCAGGGATCCACGGGTTTGTAAGACCTTCTCGCACAACAGCCCAGTGGCCTGCAAGAAAAAGAATCACATAAAAAGATCAGTATGAAAGAGGTGCCTGGATTTAAACACATTTCCACAAGCTTGCAAAAGAAATACTTAGTATGCTAAGGAATTGAAGGCAAGCTATAGGAAGCCATAGCATCATAGGATCAGTAAGGTCAGAACAGATGTCTAAGATCATCTAGTCCAACCACCAACCACCATGCCCACTGTCCATGTCCCTCAGTGCCACATCTACACGCTTCTTGAACACCTTGATGGACAGTGACTCCACCACCTCCCTGGGCAGCCTGTTCCAATGCTTGACCACTCTTTCTGAGAAGAAATGTTTCCTAATACCCAACCTGAATCTCCCCTGACACAACTTAAAGCTATTACCTCTTGTCCTATCAGTTCTTACCTGGGAGAAGAGACCGACCCATCCCACTACAAGCTCTTTTCAGGTAGTTGTAGTCCAGCAATAGTGGTTGTATGCCAAGCAGTATCACCCACATTTGACCCAATGCTCACCTCACACAAGCTATGTGACTTAACCAAAAAGAAACTCTACCTGTGAAAACCTTCTTCAAACTCCGGCTGATCCACATGTTGTCCAGCGACTTTGATCCCTGGGGGTTCTTTGTGCTGATGTTGGTAAACGTATTTGAAGGGACCAAGTGATGGAACTTCTCCTTCCTCAGTATGTCATGGTCGCTGCTGTCAGGAGCCTGGTTAAAATCTCCCAGGATGATCACATCTTTTTCCCCTGGAAAAGAGAAAAAATGGAAAGAAAAAAAGAGAAATGAATGGAAAGAATGGACACCCACAGCTTAAAAGGAAGAAGAGGAGGAGGTATACAAATGAAAGGAGGAAATATAGAAGTACTTTGTAGCAAACCTGACTTTACTATGAGATTCTGAAAGCAATGCTGTTTGCAGTGAACTACTTACTGCTACTGACTGACTGACTACTTACTCATGGCCATCCTGTCCAACTTGCAGCAGAGAAGGCTCCTCATTGTGGCTGCTCAGCGCACGCTTCTTTCCTGTTTTTAATATCAGCTTGATTATACTTGGATCCTCTGCCTGCTATTCACAGTGACAAATGCAAAGAGTAGCATTTCTAGTCTTGGAGGTTTGTAGGAATCTGTGACTTTGTAAGCTTATTTTTTTTCCTTCTGCTCCAAAAGTAATGCCTCCTACTTAATTATGTCAGCCCACAACATCAGAGGTGGATGTTGGTGGGATGGCAGTAGGGGTTGAACCTTTTCACCAATATTCCATTACATTTTGTTGCTGTGTGACAGATGGCAGCAGAGGGGAAGTCTGACCAAATGGCATCTGACGTGGAAGTGCAGATCAAGCAAAACCGTGGCACTGAATTCGGAGGAGCCATGGCACCCACTGACATTCATCAACACTTGCTGAACGTTTATGGAGACCAAGCAGTGGACATGAGCACAGTGAGGTGGTGGGTGGTGCATTTCAACAGTGGCAACAGCAACATGAAAGACAAAACACATTCTGGACAGCCACGCACAGCTGTCACACCACAAAATGCAGAGCACCTTGATCAGCTCACACATGTGAATTGGCAAATTACAACCAGGGAGCTGCGTACAGAGCTGAATATCAGCTTCAATGCATTGGAAATGATGGTGGCAACATTGGAACGTCACAAAGTTTACATCAGGTGGGTCCCACAAGTGCTCATCTAGGATCACCATATACAAGTTTGTCAAGACCTACTGAACCAATACAAGGTCAAGACACAGCCTTCAGCGGGTAAAGTGATGTGCACTGTCTTTTGGGATAGGGAAGGGGTGAAACCTCTGGATTTCCTGGAACACAGATAAACCAGCAGCTCTGACTGCTACATTACAACAGTGACTAAGCTGAAGACTCCAGAAGACACAGTTTTTTGCTAGTGTACATCAGAGCCCCAAAAGTGCAGTGCCTGTTCTAAACCTGTGTGTTGAAGAAATCTCAAAGAACAAGTCTGAAATGCAGCCTGCAAACTTTTTGGCTGCAGGTTAGTTCACAAACCATGCAGACACTCAATGGCTATAGAAACTCTCATTCTCCCAGATGACTGAAGAAATACTGCTGAACTTGGATATGTTAGAATTTGACTAGGGCCTAATTTCCAAAGAAACCAAGGAAATGACATGAAATGCTTGTCCAAAATGCCTTCTTTCTGTGGAAATAAGATTACCTCACTTATATTTTATTTCCAACCCTGAGAAAGAAAAGAAACTCTGGGCCTTAATTTTATATCCACAGCATGTGCTCTCCATGGCTCTACAGCTGGAGATGGAGATATCCCAGCTATGCAATGGGATAAGAGGAGAATGGACGTGCCTGCTGCCCTGCTAGAAAGGTGTGATGAACTCCAGGACTGTGATAGCTGAGCAAAGACTGCTGCAACAGACCTTGGTACTGTGGATGAGAAGGAGGAGTCTGCAGCAAGGATGCACAAACACACCAAAAATGATCACAAAGCTGATTTCAAAGAAGGCCACTGTTATATTCTCTAAGTGCCTTTGTTTTCTGTGGTTGAAGTGTGGAGGAAGAGGACTGAGAGACTGTTCTATGAGTGTAAGCAGCACTCATGGATAAACCTACCTGCTGTGTGCTGTTGCTGTACAAGAAGCTAGCCAAAAGAGGGAGCACAAGTTAAACAGTGAAATCTATTGCACTCTTCTCTGCCTGCAGTTCTACAAAGATGAACTAAGAGAGGGCAGGAGGGCAGAGAGACTGATGATTTATGATTTACAAAAAAAAATACCAATACTTCTAAACGTGCTGCTTGCTGAGATAACAGAGAGGTGATGAAAACATAATGAAACTACTTGTAGTTTCTGCCCTTTGCGAGCCATGCTCATATTGAACATGACACGACGTTTAAACATTATTCTGCAAAGTGCTAGTGATACTGACCTTCCCACTTTTAAAAGAAAGAAAAAAAACAAGCCTGAGCCCAAGTTATTTTAAGATTTGTCAGAACCCAAAAGAAAATCAGTGCTTATCTAATGGGGAAGCACGAAGTCCCCTGGAGAGAACTGGTTTGCTCTCATAACCTGAACAAAGTGCTTTCACAGCGCCTCTGAAATGCCACCTTCCGCTTCTGCAGCTCTCATCTTGGTGAAGCAGGCAGGCTTCCCTTCCTGCAGCACACCAAGCAGCATGCTTGCTGTGAGCTGGCAGTGGAAAAAAGCTAAGCTCTGGACAAGCAAGATGAATCTGATGGTTTCATGTCTGGGCGTCATGATGCTGCAGGAAATTGCAACGAGTGCAACTGCCGCACTGCTGCAATCCTCCAGACTAATGTTTGCTTAATGGCCAAGGCAGTGTTTGGATCCTGATATAAAGGGAGGAAGGCCACTCTGGAAAGGTCTGTGGTGCACTCTTGATGGGGATTACAAATTACAGACAGGCAGGAATCCTAGCAACAGCATCTCGATCCTGCCCAAAATATTTATTTTAGCAAATCCTCCAGCCTCACGTGAAAAATGTATTAAAAATCATAATCACAAATGGAAATTTTAACTGACTGCTCAGTTCTGAACGACTCAGAAATAGCAGAGCCTAAAATAATCAACACCTAGATATGTTCGTGGAATCAGGTACAAAGTCAGTCTGGTGTACACACAGGAAATGAGTCACTCTATTCTCTTCTGTTTTAAACTTTCTCATGCAAAACAGACAAGCATATAATCATAACACAACATAAAGTAGACAGAGAAGGGATAAACAGGGTGCAGTGAGCATTCAAGAAGCCAAAACTCCATTTTCCAGCCCATCACCAAGGGAAAGGGTCTCTTTCTGGTCCCCTCAACCAAAAGCTCCTGGTGCTCCACGTAGCTGCAAATCCCTAGCAGAACAACTGTGCAGCAGACATCTGCAGTGCTTCATTTTGTTGTCCTGCAGCAATGTTGAAACCCTCGGTTGTTCCACAGCAGTACAAAGGGACCCCTGAAGGACACTCTCACTTGACTTCCACATGCCCTGAATCAGTCCCCTAATGAATTAAACTGACACCTAAACCCCCACGTTCTTCCTGAAGAGCACGAAAACCAGATCATAGAAAGGATGTGACAGCACTCATGCTGGTAAGAAGCTCCCTACCACCTCTCAGAGGTCTTCTAGGCCTAGCTTCTGATGCATGGGCACTTTGCAATATGGCCAAGCCAGATGGGAGAAGATGACTAAGCCAACCCTGGGTCCAAGCACTACAGATAGTGTCTGCACAGTCATGGTCAGCACAGTGGATATGAACAGGTGGAGTGCTTAAGAGAAGGCAGAAGGGTTGCTGCCGAGTTAGCTACCAGCAGCAAACAACCACCAAGTCCCTCTGGTACAGCTGAGAGTAAAGGAGGACAAGAATAAAGCAGGACTCACTCATCTGATGGGAGAAATATGGGTACACAG